TCTTCTGCACGACGAGCGTGGTCCTGTCATTGAAAGCCTTGTGAGCAGAACCATTCGTAAGGTGGAGGCTACCGGTGACCCTGTTCGTGTTGTCGGTCTCAGTGCCACACTCCCGAACTACCGCGATGTCGCCAGCTTCCTGCGTGTGGACCCTCTCAAGGGCATGTTCCACTTCGACGGCTCTTACAGACCTTGTCCGCTGAAGCAAGAGTTCATTGGTGTCACCGACAAGAAGGCTATCAAGCAGCTGAAGACAATGAACGACATCTGCTACAACAAGGTCCTGGAGCAGGTTGGGCAGCGCAGGAACCAGATGCTGATCTTCGTGCACTCTCGTAAGGAGACGGCCAAGACGGCCAAGTACATCCGAGACAAGGCTTTGGAGATGGAGACCATCGGCCAGATTCTCCGCAGTGACGCTGCCAGCAGGGCTATCTTGTCCGAGGAAGCCGAGTCTGTTGACGACCCATCTCTCAAGGACCTCCTGCCGTACGGACTTGGTATCCATCACGCTGGACTGAGTCTTGCAGACCGTGACTCCGTCCAGGCTCTCTTTGCTGATGGCAGTATCCAGGTTCTTGTCTGTACCGCTACTCTTGCCTGGGGTGTTAACCTCCCCGCACACACTGTCATCATCAAGGGAACTCAGATCTACTCGCCTGAAAAGGGTAGCTGGGTTGAGTTGAGTCCCCAGGATGTTCTGCAGATGCTGGGACGTGCTGGTCGGCCGCAATACGATACCTTTGGTGAGGGTATTATCATCACCGCGCAGTCCGAAATTCAGTACTACCTCTCCCTCATGAACCAGCAATTGCCTATTGAGAGTCAGTTGATGAATAAGCTGGCGGACAACATGAACGCTGAGATTGTTCTTGGGAATATCCGTGATCGCGACGAAGGTGTTCAATGGCTTGGCTACACTTACTTGTTCGTCCGGATGCTTCGTTCGCCTGGTTTGTACAGTGTCGGTGCCGATTACGAGAACGATGACGCGTTGTTGCAAAAGCGTGTCGACCTTGTCCACTCGGCTGCTGTTATCCTGGAGAGAGCCGGTCTGGTTAAATACGAGAAGAAGACTGGACGCCTGCAACCTACGGAACTTGGACGGATCTCGTCGCATTACTACATTGGTCACAACTCTATGTTGACTTACTCTCAGCACATCCAGCCCTCCATCTCCAACATTGAACTTTTCCGCATCTTCGCCCTCAGTGACGAATTCAAGTACATTCCCGTCCGTCAAGATGAGAAGCTTGAATTGGCCAAGTTGCTGGGCCGTGTACCCATTCCCGTCAAGGAGGGCATTGACGAGCCTCACTCGAAGGTCAACGTCCTTTTGCAGGCCTACATCTCCAGACTCAAGCTGGAGGGTCTTGCATTGATGGCAGACATGGTCTACGTTACACAGTCAGCTGGCCGTATTATTCGGGCAGTTTTCGAGATTGCCTTGAAGAAGGGTTGGTCTTCAGTGGCCAAGAATGCTCTCGATCTGTGCAAGATGGCTGAGAAGCGCATGTGGCCAACAATGTCGCCTCTCCGCCAGTTCCCCAACTGCCCGAGAGATGTTTTGCAGAAGGCCGAACGTATTGATGTGCCGTGGGCCAGCTACTTCGACCTCGACCCTCCGCGTATGGGTGAACTGCTTGGCATGCCTAAGGCGGGACGTGTTGTCTGCGACCTTGTCTCCAAGTTCCCCCGTCTAGAAGTCCAGGCCCAGGTGCAGCCTATTACTCGCTCGATGCTGCGCGTTGAGTTGACGATCACTCCCAACTTCGTCTGGGATGAAGCTATCCATGGACATGCCCAGGACTTCTGGATTCTGGTCGAGGACTGCGATGGTGAAGACATCCTGTTCCACGACCAGTTCGTTCTCCGGAAGGACTACGCACAATCCGAAGTGAACGAGCATCTTGTCGAGTTCACGGTGCCGATTACCGAGCCGATGCCGCCAAACTACTTCATCACTCTGGTTTCTGATCGGTGGATGCACGCAGAGACCAAGATTGCTGTGTCCTTCCAGAAACTCACCCTCCCCGAACGATTCCCGCCTCACACTCCCCTCTTGGACATGCAGCGAGCCCCCGTCAAGGCACTGAAGCGCGACGACTACCAGAAGCTGTACCCCGACTGGCAGTACTTCAACAAGATTCAGACCCAGACATTCAAGTCGCTCTTCGATTCGGACGAGAATGCTTTCATCGGTTCTCCTACCGGAAGTGGTAAGACTGTCTGCGCTGAGCTCGCATTGCTTCGTCACTGGAACCAAGAGGACGCTGGTCGGGCTGTTTATGTTGCCCCCTTCCAAGAGCTGGTGGATCTGCGATACGCGGACTGGGAGAAGCGATTCAGCAGCCTTGCCGGTGGCAGGAACGTTGTCAAGCTAACTGGAGAGACCACGGCCGATCTCAAGCTCCTGGAGCAGGCGGACTTGGTTTTGGCGACGCCTACCCAATGGGATGTCCTGTCGCGACAGTGGCGGCGACGAAAGAACGTGCAGACTGTGCAGTTGTTCATCGCTGATGAACTGCACATGCTTGGTGGCTACGGCGGATACGTGTACGAAGTGGTTGTCTCCCGTATGCACTCAATTGCCGTCCAGATTGAGAACGGCATGCGTCTCATCGGTCTGAGTGTACCTCTTGCCAACGCCCGCGACATTGGAGAGTGGATTGGCGCCAAAAAGCACACTATCTACAATTTCAGCCCGCACGCTCGACCGGTGCCGCTGGAGCTCCACATCCAGTCGTTCAACATCCCTCACTTCCCCTCACTCATGCTCAACATGGCGAAGCCAGCATACCAGTCGATCCTGCAATTATCGCCCAATAAGCCTGCGCTGATCTTCGTGCCGAACCGTAAACAGACACGGTCTAGCGCAATGGATATCCTGGGCGCTTGTGCTGCTGATGAAGATGAGGACCGGTTCTTGAACGCCGATGCTAATGAATTGGCTCCCCTTCTCAGCCGCATCAACGAACGGACTCTCGCGGAGTCGCTCTCTCATGGTATCGGTTACTACCATGAGGCTCTGACCCCGACCGACAAGAAAATCGTGTCGCATCTGTTCGCGATTGGTGCTATCCAAGTGCTTCTCGCTTCGCGGGACGTCTGCTGGGAGCTGGACCTGACTGCCCATTTGGTCATTGTGATGGGCACACAGTTCTTTGAGGGCCGGGAGCACCGTTACATCGACTACCCGATCAGCGAAATCCTCCAGATGTTCGGAAAGGCGTCTCGTCCCGGTGAGGACAAGATTGGCCGAGGTGTGCTGATGGTTCCGGGTGTGAAGCGTGACTACTACAAGAAGTTCCTCAACGAGGCGCTTCCCGTGGAGAGTCATCTCCAGATCTATCTGCACGATGCGTTCGTTACGGAGGTCAGCACCAAGGCCATTGCTTCAACCCAGGACGCCATCGATTGGATGACCTACACATACTTCTACCGTCGTCTCCTTGCCAACCCCAGTTTCTACGGTCTCAGTGATGTCAGCCACGTGGGTCTGAGCACGTTCATGTCGGAACTGGTCGAGAATACATTGAAGGAACTGTCCGAGGCTAAGATCATCGACTTGGACGAGGAAGACGACAGTGTCTCGCCACTGAACGCTGCCATGATCGGAGCGTACTACAACATCTCGTTCATCACCATGCAGACCTTCCTTCTCTCGCTGTCGGCCCGCACAAAACTCAAGGGTATTCTGGAGATTGTCACGTCCGCGACGGAGTTCGAATCAATCCAGATGCGTCGTCACGAGAACCATATCCTGCGCCGGGTGTACGACCGTATTCCTGTCAAGATGACCCAGGTTTCGTACGACTCGCCGCACTTCAAGGCCTTTGTTCTGCTCCAAGCGCACTTCTCTCGCATGCAGTTGCCTATTGATCTTGCTAAGGATCAGGAGATTATTGTTAACAAGATCCTTAACCTGCTTAGTGCATGCGTCGATGTTCTTTCGTCTGAGGGTCATCTCAACGCAATGAACGCCATGGAGATGTCGCAGATGGTCGTTCAGGCCATGTGGGATCGGGATAGCCCGCTTAAGCAGATTCCTCACTTTGGTCCTGACGTTGTTAAGGTGGCCAATGAGTTTGGGTATGCTCCTACTCTTCATTCCGATGATTCTATGTGCAATGCTAACTTACTTCTCCGCAGTATCAACGACATCTTCGAGTTCATGGAAGCAATGGACCCCTCCGAGAACAAAGACTACGCCTCGCTGGTCAAGCGCCTGGGTCTCGACAACAAGCAGCTCGCGCAAGCCGCCGCCTTCACCAACGACAAGTACCCCAACCTCGACCTCGACTTCCAAGTCGAAGACCCCGAAAACGTCACCTCCGGCGAACCCGCCTACCTCAAGATCAAGGTCGAGCGCGAAGTCGAAGAAGACGAAGAACCCGACGCAACCGTCCACGCACCCTTCTACTCCAACCGCAAGATGGAGAACTGGTGGCTTGTCGTGGGTGAGGAAAAGACCAAGAGTCTGTTGGCTATTAAGCGGGTTACTATCGGACGGAAGTTGGATCTGCGTTTGGAATATGTTGTGCCTTCGCCGGGTGAGCATGAATTGTCGCTGTACTTGATGAGTGATAGTTATGTGGGTGTTGATCAGGCGCCTACATTTACTGTTACGGCGGCTGAGGGGATGGAGGAGGATGAGAGTGAGGAAGAGGAGGAGTAAGCTGCTTAGTTTCTGTATGTTGGTTTATTCTCGCATGAAGATTTCCTCTGTGTAACTAGTTTCTATATTCTTAATGTCAAAAGCATATATGACCATGCTTTCTCAATGACTTATCGAATAGTTATGTGATAACATTGTCAGCCTTCACTGCCGACTATGAATAAAGGCTATGATTATAATCACCCGCCACACTGGCTTCATTCAAGGAACTATGTATATCAGACTAGTATCGTCAATCATAACAATCACATTCATACACTCAACCTCGCCGATAGATATAATCCACCACCCAGTCCGGATCCTCCCCGTTCTGCGTCGTCTCATCCCCTTCATCCTGTCGCCGGTAGATATAATCTACCACCCAGTCTGGATCCTCTCCCTGCCCTTCGCCATCAAAAGCCCCGGTATCAGTCTCCGTCTCATCTTCCTGTGCATCCCGACGATAGATATAATCAACCACCCAGTCTGAATCCTTGCCCTCTTCCTTCTCATCAACAGTCTCCGTCTCATCCTGTCGGCGATAGATATAATCAACCACCCAGTCCGGATCTTTGCCCTTCCCCTCCCCGTCAGCAGCCCCAATCTCCTTCTCTTCATCCTGTGCATTTCGCCGATAAATATACTTCTCAACCCACTGCCACTTCGACTGATCCTCATCACCATCAACAGTCTCAGTCTGAGTCTGACCCTCATCATCCTGCGCATTCCGCCGATAAATGTAATCGACCACCCAATCCGGATCCTCCTCATCCTTCTCCCCATTCACAGCCCCAGTACCAGCCTCTGCCTCATCCTGTGCATTTCGACGATAAATGTAGTCCACCACCCAGTCTGGATCCTCTCCTTCTTTCTTCCCATCAATAGCCTCAGTGTCAGTCTCATTTTCCTGTCGCCGGTAGATATAATCCACCACCCAGTCTGGGTCTTCCTCCGATTCTTCCCCATTCACATCCCCAGTATCAGTCTCCGTCTCATCTTCCTGCGCATTCCGACGATAGATATAGTCCACCACCCAGTCAGGATCCTCCTCATCCCCATCCTGCGCGAGTCGGCGGTAGATATAATCCTCAACCCACATCCACCCCTCCGGGTCCTCTTCATCCTCAGCAGTCTCAGTCTCAGTCTCAGTCTCAGTCTCAGTCTCACTCCCCTCAACAGCAATAAGCCTCTTAACCATCTTCCCAGCCGGTGATTGCACATGAGATACATACTCCACGCCACTCTCGAGCAAGTACCGATACTTCAATCTGACAGCAGCATTATTCGGTGGATTCGGCGCGACGTCGTCTTCTTGGTAGATCGTTCCGTCGTTCTTGCAGGCGTCGTTGTAGTTGCAGAACTGGACGCCGGCTGCGTCGGTGCGCGTGAAGCCGATTATGAATTTCTCGGGGGTGTTGAGGTGGCTGTAGAGTTCCTGGAGGCGTTGGCCTTGGCCTGAACCACATCAGCACATTAGCCCATCACAACCCTACAGGATATGATATCCTTATGAAATGAAGATACTCACGAGAATTCTCAGTCTGCGGGACACATCGACTAATCTGCGCAACCTGGTCCGCCTCCCGCGTCGTGGCGAACGGGTACTCATCACAACTATTGGCGTCTGAAGGGCCTCCTGCACAGCGGTTTCCGCTGGGGTTGCAGCCAGCGCTTATGCGGCGTTGTCTGGCGGTCTCGTCGTCCGGGGCATCGTAGGTGAGGAGGGCTTCGGAGTCGTGGTTGCCGAAGGCGCAGTAGATGCCCCAGCACATGTTCGTGCAGACGGCTGCTGAGCGTTAGATAAAGGTTTGATGGTAGGGATGGTACGGGTAAGTGGCATACAGGGCATTTGGGAACAGTCGAAGACAACTTCCTGTTGGGCGAGGGCCTTGCCAAGAAGCGTCCCGAATAGGGCAAGAAAAAAGATGAACTGGCGCATAGTGTTGAATACCAAGCAAAACTGACTCGAGAAGCTGATACTTTGATAATTCTCTGTCTTCACATCAGTGCCAATACACCCGAGAAAGAATCCGTATTTAACATCTTCTGCCTAGAAGGCCATAAGCCGCATCTCACCCCTCCGTGCATGACCCCCAAGCCCGACATTATCTCGTGGCTGACTGGCCATGTCTATATTTGCTTATTTCCAACATAGAGCAAATACCCCAATAGGACACTGAATGACCCTGCGCGAATTCCGAAGGCGTTCACGCAGTGAGATTTGGTTCCGAGCATGGATTGGATCTGAGTAAGAAATGGCCATTGGTGAATTGACGGGCAGTGATTTGGAATTAGCTAGGGCTATATGAAGCTGCTTACTGGTACAAATACGAGCGTACATATGACTTGCATTAGACGTTTATAAGCTGACAATATCATGTATGTAATGGAATAAGGCTCGGTCTAGGGGTGTGGTAATAGCAGCTGATCTACTTCGTAAAGGGTCTACCTATGAATGTCATTCCTTATGCTACGAGTTACAGAGCGTCCTGATCCTAAAAGTGTTCTCGTTGGAGGCTATCCACATCAGCCCTGAGCACCAAGTCTAAGCGCCGACTTGAAACGTCGGAAAAACAAACATGCCTAATAAGCTGCAGGTACAATGCCCTGATGCTACGTTATACATGCCACTGTAGTAATGTGATGAAGGGACAAACATAATTTAAATCGACAGGGCTGTACATGAGGACTCATTTTTTTTTTTTTTCTTTTTGCTATGACATCGTTAACAAGGGTATGTATAAACGATTGTCAGCATAAGAGTAATCTTCTTTGTTCTTTCATGCTGAATGGAACCCATGCGGTCCTATTGTCAAGATGTTCACCGGAAAAATCCCTGTCTACATTGAGGTTCCCCACTGCGACGACGATGAGAGAGATCTTCAAGGCTTATGCGGAAGCGGGCCACATGGCAGAGAAGATCCCTGATGCAGAGACGCTAGGGGATTCCTTTGATGCGATTATACACGCCGATAAGTTGAACGACGGCTTCGAAAAGCGGAAAGTCGGTCTAGGGCGCTCCATTTGTCCCGTGCGTGATATAAAGTCACAGAATGTCTGGGAGGCGATCCGTCATATAAGCGTGTGGCTAGAGAGTTGGGCTGCAATACTCGATTCGGGTGCTTTATTAAGTTGGAGAACTGGCCTGTTAAACGGTATGTGAGAACGTTTCGTGTTGAGGAGCCGTTCGATAGTTTCTCGATGAGCGTGGATATGGCTGGAGAGGCTTTGCATTTTGTGGCGATTGGGATGAAGTCTTGGGATGATGAGAAGAAATTGAGAGGGGAGAAGGAGTATTCTATGCTGGACTGTTGATGGACTCGCCGAATTGGAATATCGCCCGCTTTGTCTATCGATGAGATAGTTCCATTGTCGATAAAGATGCCATCCTGTGGAAATTGATCGGTACTCCATACAATAAAAACAATGCAAGGATAACTCTATAACAACGTATCAATTACCAAAACCACTTAACTGTCCACAAGCTGAACTTATCAGCGCTGTCAATTGCCATCTATATCAACACCATCAACCCCCGCATTTCCCACCGTACAACTCCTCATTCCGGACATCTCCAAAACAGCGGCGCGAAACCTCGGCTATAAGTAACGATACGAGGGGAATCAAGACATATTCTTTGCTAAATTATGCCCAATGAGAGTCACCCTGGAAATCAGTGCTTTTATCGGCGTGATAAGGTATCTTGCATATCACATCTTTTTGTGTAACATAAAGATGCCACATTCGTCCGCATAACTATGAGACTTTCCCCTGCATTTTCTCGGAGCCGGGTATACGGACTTCATTAGTTCCACGGGTTTAATTAACAATATGACGCCAAATGTGGATAGGAGTGCCGTTCCGGGCACTGTCACTTTGCTGGATTTGGACCATGTTATGTCCGCCCAGCATGCCAATGGGAATAGCGACATTGTTTTGATCCCGACGCCTTCGAGTGATCCGGATGATCCGCTGAACTGGTCGCCACGGCGGAAGCTATTGTCCACTATTTGTGTTAACACGTGAGTTACTGTGTTCATCCAAACTCTTTTCTGACCGTCGCTGATGTGAAAAGATACACTCTATTTGTCGGAATCTCAACTTCCGTCGTATACTCCGTCCTAGTTCCTCTTTCAGAGAACACCGGAGTGTCAGTCAGCACCATTAACGAGGGAACGGGATATCTGTTTCTGCTAGCAGGATGGGGCCTCTTGTTCTGGCAGCCGTTCGCCATGCAATATGGCAAGAGGTTAACCTATCTGCTTTCCTTGGTGGGAACTTTGGTAAGTCGTGACTCCGTGAGTATACTTCCAAAGGCGTGTACCTAACCTCAATGCGTTAGGGGATGTTGATGTGGGGGTGGGTAATCGAACGACATATGGAAAGTAAGCTGCTAACCAGAAAAGTCCGTATATACATTCAAACGGCCAATGGGCAGCAAGGAGTGTTCTGGCAGGTTTCTTCGTCGCCCTTATCGAGGCACTTCCTGAAGTCTCCGTCACGGATGTGGTGAGCCTATCCTTGTATAATATTTGAGAAAACCACTCACACTTATAGTACTTCACCCACGAACGCGGAACATACATGGGACTCTACGCCTGTTTCCTAGCCGGAAGCAATTACTTTGCGCCAGTTATATGCGGCTTCATTTCCGAGTACCATGGTTGGACATGGGTCTTCTACTGGCCTAGTATCTTCTGTGCCGGTGCAATTGTCTTTCTGTTCTTTTTCATGGAAGAAACGAATTACACGCGCAATTTCTCGAATGATGCTGCAAGTAGCGATGCTGAGCCTTCGGCTGCGGATCTCGAACAAGTGGATAAAGAGATGGCACCGGATAGTTCTGATGTGCCGATTCCTGGAACGATGTACTCGAAGAAGACATATGTGCAGAAACTTTCTCTGCTAGGGCCCCGGCAGAGCAGGAATAACATGCTTAGGAGGTCATATCAGACGCTATATTATCTCTCGTGGCCAGTGGTATTTTATGCTGGGTGAGTTGAGCAGTCTTCGGCGAAGCATTGAATTAGGAGCTAACAAACTAAGCTTTTCTTACGGTTCATATTTGATCTGGTTCAATGTTATGAACGGTACTGCGTCTATTATTCTCGGATCCGCACCATATAACTTCAGGTACTAGTTTCACCTTTATGATAGAACGTGAGCTGACAATCTCAGTACGGCCATGATAGGCCTTGGCTACGTATCCTGCTGTCTCGGTGCTATTGCAGGGTAAACCCTCTCCACCCCCCAATAAAAAATTCGAAATGTCTACTAACCATTATACAGCTCCCTCTTTACCGGCCGCTTCAGCGACTGGCTCACCATAAAACTCGCCCGCCGCAACAACGGCATCATGGAAGCCGAACAACGTCTCTGGCCCTTCGCAGCATGCCTCTTCATCCTCCCCGGTGCCCTGATCCTCTGGGGCGTCGGAGCCGCCCACGACGTACACTGGTTCGGTCTTATTGTGGCTATGTTTCTGCTTGCGTTTGTGAATACGAGTGGGATTACTATTAGTGTTAATTATTTGGTTGATAGTTATAAGGAGTTGAGTGGGGATGCGATGGCGAGTGTGATGTTGGTGAGGAATACGATGTCGTTTGCAATTGGTTATGGGTATGTACCTTGTTCTCTTGCTTGGTTAATATTTGTGGAAGCTAATGGTGATAGGATCACGCCGTGGGTTGATAATTTGGGATACCAGAATTGCTTCATTTCAGCTGCGTTTATCGGTATGGCATGCTCTGCTGTATTCCTTATTATGATGAAATGGGGCAAGACATTCAGAGAGCACAGTCGTGAACGATACTGGAATATCGTCGTCGAGAACTGGGAGAAAGGAATGGGCCACTGAACATGATATTGGGATTTATATATGTATGCAACCAATCTAATAGCCACACATGCGAGAAGCCAGACTTCAGGTCAGAAAAATACAGAAATTGCATAACAGCTACCACTTCATCCTAAACCCATCACCATCCTCCCTCGCAGCCCTCAGCAATGCCTCCTCCCACTCCCGCTCAATCCTCGCCATCGCTTCTTCTATTTCCGCGTCCTCGTTCCCACTCTCAATTCCACTCTCGCTGTCTACCTCGACCCGGAGCTGGATGGGAGATTCACAGCCGCGTAGGCCAATAAATCTTCCAAAGCGTCTTCTCTTAGTTTTTAGATTGACCTCGTCCATCATATATTCATTTCCATGAGGATGGGCATGAGCATCGACCCAAGCAGGAATATTCACCGGGTAACTAAATGTCCCCGGAACAGGCGGGGTGACTTGATGATAATGCCTTGCTAATTCATCCAGTTGGGCGGATGTCAAGAGATGATACGAGAGGAGAGTTCTCGGGAAATAAGGGTGCTGGAGACCGGTCGTGGCAGAGACGAGGGGGTGGAGGGTTGTGCGGAGGTGGGCGATGACAGTGTCTAGGTTTATTGTAGTGATATTATTTGTAGGAGTGATTGGTGTGGTAGTCGTGGTGGTTGCTTTTGGCGTCTTGATTGAGGCTGCGGAAGAAGTGAGAGTTGACGGGGTGAAGAGTGGGGAGGGCGAGTAGAAGGATTGAGGCGAGGGTGGGTTGATTCGGAGACGGGGTGGTGAGCGAGAGGGACGGTGGTTTTGGTTGGACATTATTGCTTTATCGAATTTAAATAGAATTTGTAGAAAATCGTTAGTTTATGTTGAAGTATGAGGGTAGGAGACTCAGCTTGCATGGAGTACACTCGGATGTATTGAGTTGGATTGAAACGATGTGTTTAAAGAGAAAATCTAGAGAGGCTGGTAAGTTATTTATATCGACTGTGACCATGTCATTGACAATGGATTGTGGTCCTACGGGAAGATGAAACGGATGAAAATAGAACTCTTTGTGTGGTCGAGTTTCAGCAACACAAAGGTATACCAACGGCACGCACTGTTCAAAGGTCGGCTTCCTTTATTCCAAATGGATGAACAAACAAAGAGCGCTTCGAAGATAAAAGGAAATAACATCCCATGCATTATCTCGTAACTACATGACTGATATATCCGCAAATAAAGGCTGAATCAACTACGACAAGGACAACCCAGCGGCACGCTTCTCCAAAGGCGCTCCCTTGCTCGACTCGAACATTTCGAAAGACGTACCGGGAAGTGGAGGCAGTCCAACATACTTGTTAATCCAGTTGAGCACGGTCTGGTGCCACACGAGCGCGTTCTCCGGGTTCAACATCCAGTGGTTCTCATCCGGGAAAGACAAGAAGGCACTTTCGACACCCCTCGCCTGCAGGACGTTGAATGCCGCCAGGCCCTCGGCAATGGTGAGACGGTAGTCAAGTTCGTTGTGAATGACAAGGTGTGGAGTCTGCCAGTTTGCGGTAAACCGGGAGGGATCCCATCGGTCCCAGTTTTCAGGTACCTTCCAGAGTGGGCCGGCCATGTCGTGGATCGGGAAGTAGAGTTCTTCACTGGCGAGCTGGGATGTCATGCTGAACACTCCGTCATGGGTTACCAGGGCTTTGAATTTGCGGCCGAGAGGATGACCCTGGATCCAGTTCACCATGTATCCACCATACGACGCCCCCAGTGCAACGGCTCTGTTGGTGTCGACATAGTCCAGGTTCTTCTCGATATACTCGAATCCCTTCTCGATATCTTCATAGGGGAGGCCTCCCCAGGAGTTGCGGATGGCATCAGTAAAAGGCTGACCGTAGCCAGTACTACCTCTGGGGTTCGGGGTAATGACGACGTATCCTTGCTCTGCGAAAACAGCAGGATTCCAGCGGGTGCTCCACTGGTCAACCCACGCCCCTTGCGGACCACCATGCAACAGATAGGCCAAGGGATATTTCTGACTTGGGTTGAAGTCGGATGGCTTTACCACCCACGCGTGGACGGGATGGTCCTCTCCTCCCCTGAACCAGATTTCGTCCACTTGCGATGGCGAAAGACCAAAAGCAGCTCCTCCACGGCCGATGGACGAAACAATTCGCACATCGTCAGGGGAGCTAGGATCAAGAAGAGTCCACAAGCTGTTGTCAACAAAGCTCGTGTTTGATACCAGCAACTTGGGCGAGTTGGCCGCTGCATGATGCACCTCAGTAACGCTCCCTGAATGCGTAAGCTTCTTGAGCGAGTCGGGTGTGGCTTGCTTGATGTCCTCAAGAGGAAGCTGGTACAGAACGCCACGGCCCTTCTCCTCGACTTGGACAAGCAAAGACTTGTCGTCATGCGCAAAAGACACCCCAGACGGACTGAGCTCCCACAGTCCCTTGCCGTCAGCCGATTGGAATACTTCGATCATCTCACCGCTCCATGGGTTAGGAACGTATAGTATGCGGTTCTTATCAGACTCGTAGCCATCCTCGCCCATCGTAAGAAGGGCAATCGAGCTACCGTCCGACGAGAGGACAGGAGAAGACATGGCGCCCTGAAGCGCCTGCACCTTGCAAATCTTGGCTTGCGGCACATTCGTATCCATACTGGTCCACGAGAACATCGGACTGTAATAGCACGAGCACGAAGTGTGCAGTGCCGGGTTTAGGTCCGGATCTTTGGCAACGAAGACAATAGCCGATGGACTGATGTCAAAGTCGCCCGCGCCTCCCATAGGCGGAATAGGCGACTCAACACCAGCCAACCCAGAGACGGCGATCAAGTTCGTCAGACCAGAGACAGAATACTTGCCAGCATGTCTGTTGGCCGGGGTGAGCGGCGCTTGCTGAAGCAGACCATACCAGATAGTGTTCCGCTGCGGCTCGACCCACGTATCCCAATGCCTCACAAAAAGCGAAGTATACAACCGTCCAGAGCTGAGCGGCTTCTTAGCATCGTGCGGGTTGAACAGCGATCCATCCGGATTAGTCTTGCCGGTCACCGCAAATCCAATCTTTCCCGGCTCGATCACTGTGACTTTGAGATCCGACACGGGTCCCGGGACAGTTCCCGCCGTATATGTCTTGTCCGCCTCGCGAGCGTCCCCGATGATAAACGCAGTGTTCCCGTTTGTTTTGGCCTTCAACCAGACCAGCTGGTCGCCATCACCCAGCCATTGGGGATTACTAGATCCGGAATCGTTTGTGATCAGAGCTGAGCGACCGGTAGCGATATCTATCACGCGAATCTCGTTCGTCTTGGAGTGGGATTCGAAGGAGTAGGTCGTCTGGGTGTACACCGCCAGAGTACCCGAAGCGTTGGGGACAGCGCCAGAGCGACGGGGCGCTCCGAGAAGGGCCCTGGATGGTCAGAGATTATAAAGAACAGACAGATATTTGCATTCAAAGACTTACTCGGGACTGAACTTCATGGGTCTAATGGTCATATCAATCCGGAGAAGCGGTGATAAGAGCTCGACCGATAAGATAGAGCTAGAGATGGCCAAAGAGGACAAGCTGTTGCTATATAGGTGACAATAGTCGATAGAGCAGAAGATGAGAAATAGAAAAATAATAAAAAAAGAGATGGAAATGAGAGATGTCGATGCAAGGAAGAAGGAGGAAGAGGAATGGAGGCTGGAGAGGAGAGACAGCTGAGTACACCGAGCGGGGTGCCAAAGGTCCCTCCGGATCGGCATGATTTACGTTGCACCTCGACTTGGGTCTCGGTATGCCGGACCTAGCATTTGATTCTGTAGTTTACGCATTGCAGCTTGACATAATTGATGGTAAGACTAGTTATCATCATGTCGGATCGAGTTATCTAATCATGTTATCACCATTTCTCGAGGGAAAAAAATATATATATACTGAGATCTGGCAACCCTAAGTAGGCCTCGTGTTGGTTTGTGAACTTGAACTCATCTACCACAAATAGAATATGGAAGAATATCAAAAATGATCACCAAGAACCAGAAAGGAGGCAGAAGCATGACTATCAATCCATTTGGCTCAGCATCACTTCAGGAGAAACTCAATGACTGCTCCATTTCATGATTTGAACCAGCGTCGTGTCCAATATGCCTAATTATTGAAGTCTCCCATGTACAGCTGCAAGCAATAAAGCAATATGATCCTCACCAATTGAGTTAGGATCAAGGCGATTTTCTGAAAGTGATTTCACCACATCCACATGACCCCCGCCTGCGGCCAGAATCATTTGCGTCTCGTATGAATAGAATTGGCTCAAGTTCGGCCTATGGTTGCTCTTCATGAATAATTGCAAGATTCTAGTATGCCCTTTCAGGAGAGCCTCCACAAGTGGGATTATTCCGGAGGCATCCTCTAAATTAGGATCTAGACCACTATCCAGCAGAACTCGAACCGTCTTCTCATGGCCTTGCTCTGCGGCCCATGATAGTGGAGTTCGTCCTTTTTCGTCTTTGGCTGTATGATCGTAACCATCTCTTATGATTGCTTCCACAATATTTTCAAGGCCAAAATATGCCGCCAGATGGAGTTTTGTAACATGTTTTGCTGTCTTCAGAACGTGGGCCATCAAAGGATTTCGGCAGAATCAGAGGATAAATACTAGCAAGCAGTTTTTGATCGTTGTCTAGCAATCGAAATACCAGTTGCTTATCCACGGATTGTATGCGAGCACGGTGGCCCCAGTTCTGAGCCGCATACTTGTGAAGATATTGTGGCAGCTTGACAAGAGGGGTTTGAGATAATTACAACGCAAAGGCCTCTGTCCCTACAGTATCGAAGGTTAGATATGTCAGGCAGGTCTCAGCGACATCCCTATGAGCATTAGGAAACCAGTGTTCCCAAGTCTGGTCAAAGTACTCTTGCACAGTATAGTGAACTAGTCGAATAATGTTGCTTTTCTCGTCCACTGCGACAAGGCCAGATGTCACAGAGATTATCAGACCAACGTTGACAAGGTTATCCTCGTCAAATTCTGTCATTCCTCGTCTGACTGCTAGGGCATGTTGCAATTCATTGGTCGTAAGAGGCCTTCTTGCACAGGTAATCCACGCGATTGCCCGCAGAGCAAGATCTCGAAAGCCGGTCAACTGGCATTTGATTTGTCCCATGGCTTCTTCATATGCTTCTTTGTATGCCTTGGAGCCTTTAGGAAGATTTGTCAACGCAAGCTTCACCTCACTGCGTGATACTTTATCCTGCAATGAATCTAAATGTAGCTTTGCCAAAAGAAACCTGAAGTCTGTCAGCATGTTGAAAGTTATACGTTCCACGTAGTACCTACATTCCATCCACCGAGTCGATAATTTTCACTTTGATTTCGCTTTCCAGCTCAGGATCTTTGGACATAATAGATCGTGGCAGTGACACGTGTCCTTCGATGTAATTCCGTACATCGTCGTCCATGGCACGAATCTCCAGAAAAGCGCTTTCCCTTTTGAAAAACCCCTCTTCAATTTCTGGAACGAATCGCGAGGTTGCAAGTATATTGACACCTGTACTCCCTTGTAGAGCAAATATATGGGACAGGAACGTTGCACGCCCCCCGTCAGAAACCTGGATTTCGTCCAGCGCGTCAATGACAATAAAGGCCTTTTGGCAGGAACAAAGAACAGTACGCAGCACTTCCAGAATCTCGTCGGAAGAAGGCCGAGTCTCCAGCACCTTGTGGCGCTCGTAAATACTTCTCAAGTCTTCTGGTATAGAGCCATGTTGCCAAACCATCTGTTTCAAGAGACTTGCCAGAAAATCCGTTGGCTTTTGCTGGTATTGGCGCCGGAAGTTACAATATATAAATGAGGTGTTGATACTGCGGACATCATAGTATATGGAGTTGAGATGATTAATGACAATAGATGCCATGATCGTTTTACCCGCACCCGGGATGCCCTGACAGAGGAGTGACTGGTTGCGTCCCCTGAGCCAGTGTTGGAATTCGTTTGAGTTGATGAACCATTGGCTTGTTCCTGGTTGCCGCTTACTAAAAAGGTCGCTTTGCTCAGTACCATAATCACTTGAACTAAGCCAATCGAGAATCTCTGTCTTTTGATTTTCATCCGCAACGGTGTTGACTTTGGCTATACCTAGTTCAACTCGATCAAGTGATTGGGTGACTGTAGAAAGAGTTAGCCGCGAGTCCCTCTGTATAATGTGTAGACGTACGGTCTTTGAGAACATTGGCCGCGGCCTCCGTATGGTCAACCTTTTGTGGATGTACTATTCGAAGAAGTGTCCTTGGGATAAGCAGCGGCTGCAACAGCCGCGTATGGTTGCCAGTTGTCATTTTTATGGCCATCGGAGTAGTCAGAGATGCCTCTGATAAGAATGCAGGGGAAATCATTCATCAGACCCGCTGCTTCCATTTCAAAACAGCATATGTCCCAGGTATCCCGTAATTCGTCTCGACGCTGAGCAGAACTCATGACTGTATTACCTGAAGCGATAAGCCCATAATGGACAACAGGATAGTCAGATTCTCGATCAAGCCGCTTTTCCAAGCCATCCTTGTCACAGGATGAGCAGTCCACCCCGCGGACATGTGGACAAGTTGCTTTGAATGGTTGATCATGGTCTCGACCAGGAAACCGATAGTGCTTGCTAGCTCTGAGGCTAGTAGGTCCTGTGCAGACTTTGTCGATGTATTGATTCATTTCATCCCCGCCAAAATCATGGTCTGATTGTAGTAGTTGCGTTGCATTTAAAAGAATACTTGGCGGCTGGTTCAACCGGGACCTGATATCGTACGTCTCGTCATCTTTATGTCTGCCTCTTATCATACTGCAGAACTCCACCTTCTTACCATGAGTATCACAGCTCCTTGGAATATCGGCAATTGAGTGAGAGAAATGCGTACCATATCTTCCCTTAGGCTCACCAACAACAACATCCCCAAGCCGTATATCATTTGCCGGGTCAGCGGGGTCCGGTGATTTGGGAGCACCCCCTCCGATACCAACCATAAGCCCAAACCGAATATTGCGAAACGTTCGAATCATATGCGCCGTGGTTCGAGCAACGGCTTCTGTACCGTGAACACCTGCTCCGGGAAATGCAATAACCACGTTATGCTTGCCCACTTGGCCGAGGATATAGCTGTTGTCATCGTTTGGGCCACGAGGAAGCCGTTCGTGTTCCTCGTCCAGCATTGCCCGGGAGGCATTGACTTCGTAGCGAAGAGCACATACCCATCCAACCGTATAGGCGTCGTGGTTAAGTTGTGGTAGGGTCATGCATAAAACATGATCAGCTTGATTGGGCGAGCTGCAAACACTGTCACATGACCGAAGGACTAGAAAGAAAAAAGTAATCATGATCAGACATGCGACATTGATATTCGCATCTAACTATTCAAAACATACAAAATATGAGATGAGCATTCAGTAAATAAGGTTTGTCTTGACATAAAGCTTCTGAATAGACTCACAGCCACTTCCGAGCCCAACCAAAGCTCTCGAAGCTCATGATGTAGAATCGCCGTACCTCCATTCAGTCCATAGTTTTCCAGACACATAACTCAAGCAAAACTATCACACTCCTCCCTTGCCAACTCCCTACTTTTCCTCCACAACTGCCTCGAACTCTCCTCCCCAGCCGGAAAATCAATATGCTGCAGAGCCCGAACCTGGCAGTTATCCAGGAATGCCCCGGATTGATCTTCGCCATATCAGCCATCTATATCGAGCTGGATAGAGGAGAAGTGACTTACTTTTAAGACCTGGGTCTAGAAGTGCTCTGAGGACAGTCGCGCAGCCCTGGGAGAGGGATTTTGGGGCTTGTTGTAACAGGAGGGGGAGGTCTTGTTTGACTATTCGGCATTAGAATCGTGCCATATAGCATGTTGAGTGGTGTACAAATGGACATACTCTCTTTCTTCCGTTGGAGCCACGAGGCAACCTGCTCTGGTGAGACGGATGTATGGAGATTCGTTTTGGTGTCTGTACCCAACATTAGCAACGATATGTCAGACCTGGTGCAGTATAACTTACTCCCCGGATTAACAGCGAACGCAATCATTGACCGTCCCTCATCAGGACTAGCCAAACACTTGACAAACTGCACATTGGCAAACATTGACTGTGCATACCCATCCAATGGATGATACGTTTTCCCATTCTATCCGCATCAGCACCTTTTCCATAACCCCCCTATTGATTAGGACCGAGAACTCACATCAAAATTAACATCCTCAAACCCCCAAGCCCCCGCATCAGGCCGAATACTACTCCCCACCACAACCACCCTCCCATCATCCGGCATAACCCCCCTCAACCGATTAACAAGCACAAAATGACTCAAATAATTCACCCCAAAATGCCTCTCCACCCCATCCCCCGTAACCGCCCACTCGTCCGCCATAACCGTCGGAAAACAAATAATCCCATCCAGCGTGACCTCGAGTTTCCGAATCACGTCCGCGGCACCCCGGACGGAGGAGAGCTTGCTCATGTTGGCTGTTATGAAGATTACTTTGACGCGCGGGTATTTGGTGTTTATGGTTTCGTAGATGGGTTGGATGGCGCGGTTGGAGGGGCCGATGAGGATTAGGGCTGCGGCGTCGCCGGAGGCGAGGGTTTCGGCGGTTGTGGTGGAGAGGTCGGATGTGCCCATGCCGGTTAGGATGACTAGTTATGGGGTGTTAGTTGGTTGTCTCTGTGGGTTTATTTGATTATGGTGTGGTGGGCGTACACGTTTTCTTTTGGATTCTGTGTGGGAAGGCATCGATGACCTCGTTGCCCTTTGTGTCGGGACCGAAGTTTGGTCCTCCCATTTTGCTAGATGGCGTGATGACTCTGGAAATGAGTATTGTCACTGCAAAGGATCTTCTACAAATCAGTAGAAACGCCTTGGTTATATTGTTTTGGGGTATCTTTCGTCATCATGAGCCAGGCCGAATTACGGAACTTCAGATGCGTCGGATCTCTAGTCCACCATCTGAGAACAGTTCTTGGTTGGAGATCAAGATAGAGAAATATCTTGAAGCATAAGATAATTGAAATGGAAATTCAAAAATGTATTAGAGACCTGTCTCCAACTGAGATTATGGTATCAAACTCAGACATGAAAAGAGTACACAAAAGAACCCTGGCACGGCCAACAAGCCAATGCAAGAAAATGCTGAAAAAGAAAAAAGATGGAAAGAGAAAGAGAAGTTCCTTGTTGCCAGTGATTCAGAAGATATCCAATCTTCAACCCATATCGTACAATTCAGTAATATCAAAGACAGCACACACGATCCCAGATCAATAGCATGAGTCGATCACTCTATAGCAGACGTTGCATGTAGAGAATCGCTCACGAAGATCCAGCATCATCCGAAAGGTTTTGGATGACATCCTTCAGAATCTGAATGAGTTCGTCAATGTCAGGCCTGTCTGCCGGTTCAACTTCCAAGCACTTTCGAACGACATCTTTGACCTGCGCACTCATCGAACTTGTTCCGCTCGAACTCGCGCCCTCGCCCTGTTGTTCGCCCCCAGCTTTGCCCTTGCCTTTGGAAGCCGATTTCTCATCGGGGAAGCGCCAGTCTCCACCGAGCACACACATGCTCAGACTTCCACCAGTTTCCTCACTGCGAGCTTCGAATGGACTCTTTCCGACCAAGCATGCGTATAATGTGCATCCAAACGACCAGATGTCTGCTTTTGTGTCGATGACGGATCCGGTCTTGACGTCGAATAGTTCAGGGGCTCGGTACGGCATCGTGCTGTGTTCTGCGGCTGTATCCTGGACTGCCAATGCGAGAGAACGGGAGGTAATCGGAATGGGACTAGGGGCTAAGGATCCCAGATCCATGAGAACTGGACTGTGGCCATCTTCGCTAATCATGATGTTGCCTAAACCGCGAATAGCCGTTAATATTCTAAAACTTAGATTAAGTGATGCAGAGCTGCCGACTCACCAGGTTTCACGTCTCTGTGGGCGTATGGGCGCAGGTCACCGTCTTGTACCCCTTCTTGGCTTCTGGTGACCTCATCGTCCATCAACGGCTCATTCTCCTCATCCTCATCCTCATCCACCCGTTGACTAGCCCGGCGTTTGGGGGCTTCCATGCGCATCGCCAATTCCGTATCAGCTTCTTCGCCTTCTCTTCGAACCGTCTTGGCTTTGCGCGTCGTTCCGGCATTGCTCTTGACGCGATATTGATGCATAGCCTTGAGCGCATTGGCGACACCCAGCATCAGGGCCATGAGCCTCTTCTCCGGGAATGTAGTGTGGTTGACGAGGTTTGCGTTGATGGCATCTTGGAGGTTTCCGCGCTGGTAGTATGGTAGAAGGATGTAGACCGTCTTGGATCCTGCGTCGCCGCCGTCGGAGCGGAATTTCGAGCCAGCTTCGGTCGACACGCAATGGTCTATCGAATGAATGATATTCTTCTGCTTTGCGAATAGGTTGTATGCTTCCACTTCCTTCAAGGCCTGGGAGACGGATTCCTGACCGAACGGACAACGGATTTTCTTCAGCGCAAAGAGTTCCGACGTCGACTTATCCTGAACGAGGTACACGTAAGAGAAACCACCCTAAACGACTCATCTCGCGTCAGCGCACTGTCCGGGGAGATCCGTTGATCAGCGGAATGAGACATACTTCACCCAGGAGACGTAGCAACTTGAAGCTGCGATTGTTGATCTTCAGCTGCGGCGTGCTGGGAAAGCAGCACATGCAGTCTGTAAAGTTGTAAAGGAGATCGAAGAAGTATTGCGCCATCTTCAAAGCTCATGTAATGACAGGGGAGGGTAAGGGGCGATCAGATGAAACGGTGACGGAGGATCCGGGGTGATGTACGGAGTGCGGCGTATGGAGAGGATACGTAGTGAGAGGCGTGAAATCGTGGCGTCTGCGTCAATAACGGGTAGGACTCCACCGCGCGACAGTGTCTCGACTGTCTGTGGCTTGTCAGTCAGACAAAGCAGAGGCTAATTGGACGTGGTCTGGTCGTGGCAGGATCGCAATGGGGGCCGTGAACCGAGACAAGTGTCCTCAAGGCAAGTAGAAGAGGCTGGAATGCAAGGCGCAGAGATGTTGCACTTTAAAACAGCAAAGTATAAGACCTAATGCGACGAAACAGAGCAGAAATATGAGGTGAAGCTGGGAGTGGCAGAGGAAAGGTTGGAGGAAGAGAGGAAGATGATGTTGTCTGATGCTCGCCGGTGGAGCGGGCGGGAATGGCACAAACCCATGGTTCGTGAGAGATACAAATACTAGACTAGGATAGATTATTGTTAGTAGGGATTGACCTGATTTAGCTGTATATTTGAAGCTATCTCTGTCTTTTTGTCTGTCTGCTCTTCTTCCCCTTTCTGTCGGGCTTTTTTGCTTCTGCCCAACAGACACTGGAGAAAAGATAATACCGACAAGCGTCCACCACTACTGCTAACCATGACCTAACATCTCTCCTCTCCCCCCTTTTTTTCCTCAGCTGGAGATCGATTCTACTCAATTCTACGGATTATTGATCTGATACATTATACGAAGTCCAATTCTAAACCCGACGAAAGCTCTGTTCGCTCCGTTCGCCGCTATAATATTCCCCCCACCCCTGCGGAATCCCTGAACCCGAAATCCTCCCCCGTTTGTCGTCCGATAGCAACGCCTCAGCAAAAGCAATTCCGATGGCGCCTCTGGACGATGTCCAGACCGGGGACACGGTGAATGTCCCCGGAGGAATGTATGGAACGGTTAAATACTTGGGAACTGTCGCCGGTAAACCAGGCAAGTTTGCTGGGATTGAACTGGCGCCGGAACATGCCAGACGAGGGAAGAACAGTGGCGATGTGGAAGGCAGAAAGTACTTTTCGACGTCCAACCCGGGGTCTGGTATTTTTGTGCCGATGAACAATAGCAAATATGTCACCAAACGAGCCTTCTCTGCTAGTGTAGCGGGCGGCGTCCCGCCAACACCAACACGGCCCGCCGTCAACTTCAGCAAGTCCGTCGGTCCCAGTCCCGCTACGCGTCGTCCACAGGTGAGGCGTCCTTCTTTGCCTCGTCCAGAATCCCCGCAAAGACAAGCCCCGACCCCGTCCAAGTTGAGTCTGAACGGACTGCGCACACCGTCCGGCACCGCACGCCCTGTTCCCAGTCCCAATGGCTTCCCCCGCAGTCCGATTAAACCCCCGTCGCGGATGTCCGAAAGACCACCCTCTCGCGTCAGTACAGAAGATGACGTCTCCTCTGTCTCTGTGAGAACCTCGGATATGCACCAGCGGGATTCTATGTCTACGGAGATACAAGATTTGAAAGATAATGTGAAGAGCTTGGAGAAACAACTACTGGAGCGAGACCAGCAGCTTGGTGAGCAGTCGGGTCTGCTGTCTGAGTTCCAAAGCACCTTAGAAGAATTGGAAGGATCGGACGGTCTCTCGATCCGTAATCAACTGCGCGAGAAGAACGAGAGGATTGCGCAATTGACACAAGAATTCGATCTGCACCGGGCGGATTTCCGCAGCACCCTTGACACGTTGGAAATTGCCGCTTCTGAGACAGAGCGGGTCTACGAGCAGCGTCTCGAAGAATTACTGCAACAACATAGAGAACTGCAGGAACGTGACGAGGACGTCGAAGTCGTTGCGCAACAGCTGAAGCAGTTGGAAGAACTGGTATCTGAATTGGAGGAGGGTCTTGAGGATGCAAGGCGTGGGGAGGCCGAAGCAAGGGCCGAGGTTGAATTCTTGCGAGGTGAGGTGGAGCGGACCAAGCTTGAGCTGGACAAGGAGCGCGGGAACTCTTCAGGAACGCACAGCGCGCAACCACCAGCAAATGGATCTTGGCCTTCCAAGGAACTGGACCAGAAGGATGACGAGATTCGCGGTCTTAAAGCCATCATCCACTCGTTGAGCAGAGGCGATCCCAACCTGTCGGCTTTGCAACTGAATGGCGGTGCGTCGCAGGACCCGGGGCATCTCGCGACCCTGGAACAGCGTCTTCAAGAGTATGAGGACATGGATGACAAGAAGACCTCCCGTCTCGAAGAATTGGAGCACGAGCTCCACCAACTGGAGCTGGATGAAAACAGCCATGCTCGCAGTGGAACGATTACGGCCGCACCTCAGGCACAGCACCAACCCTCCAGTTCCACCGGAAACATTGGAATTGCGAACACTGTGAACCACGCTCATCGTCTTTCTGACCGCACAGTGGTGCCCAATGAGTCCCAAAACCATGACGGCCAGCATCCCTTCTACGCTCACCACCGCACTGCTTCTGAGAGCTCCCGTCGCCATTTGGAGACCATGCACGAGTCTGATACTGATACCCAGTCAGATGACGGCAGTGCATTATGGTGCGAGATCTGCGAGGCCAACGGCCACGACATTCTGAGTTGCACCAGCATGTTCGGTAACAACGCCAAAAAGACCCCAGCACCGAAACAACAACCCTCCGAAAACGAAAAGCCAGCCGAGAATGAGAACAAGCCTACGCCAGAATCTTCTGGTGCAGAGGATTCGGAAACTTCCAGCCTTTCAAACAGCATCAGCAGCCATGGTGAACCCACCGGTCCCCAGAAGACCGGCCGCGACGCTGTCCTGGAAGGACTGAAGGGAATCAGCGGCGGAATGAACTCGTCCCTGTCAGCTGTTGCGGGTAAGTCGTCCGGGGTGATTGATGGGTCGAAGTGGTGTGCTCTTTGTGAGCGAGATGGACACGAAAGTATCGATTGTCCTTTTGATGACTAGACACGGACATGGATGAGGCATTAGAATGTTGCCTTATTGTTCGACGCATTGAGGCTCTTTGCATTGATTTATTTGAGATGGTTATTTCTGGGACGGCTTTCTTCCTTTCTTTCTTTTCCTTTTTCATTTCCTTATTCTTTTTCGGCATTTTCTTCATCTTCAGGATACCTGTTCCTGTTATTCCCTCTTTCTGTCAGTTGGAGATTTTCAACTGCTACGTTGTGTTAATACAGTTTCCTTTCTCTGAATCACCTACCCTTTTTAAATGTTTGTACAACATTTCTCTTCTCCCTTTTCTCTCTATCCCATTTATCCATCCCTACTATATCTGTACGCAAGGCCGTCCTAATCTTAAATCCTAATATGCATTGCTCCGCGGGCATCAATATCATACTCGTAACATATTCTCCATCCCAGAAAAGGGAAGAAAGCATCTACTCCGGAAACCTACTCGGCTGCACAATCTCCCCCTCCCCATACCTCACATCCGCAACCTTCCCACACCTCTCACACCTCCTCTTCTCCTCATCCCCCTCAAACTCCTGCACAACAGCCTTAACCTGCGTCCCCAAATCCGTACACACAAAGCTCTTCTCCCAAACAACGCCCCCGCACCCCCTACAATACCACTGCATCGTATCCAGCGCACCCTCCGGCCGCGGCGCCTCCAGTACAACACCGATCGTATCCTTGAACCTCACGGGACAGTGCGGGGTGTTGGGAGGGAGGAGGAAGATCGAACCTTCGTGGATGGGGATGTCTTGTGGGGTTGGTGGGGTGGTCGAGGTGTCGATTGTTCTCAGGAGCATGGAGCCGCGGTATTGGTAGAAGAATTCGGGGGTTGTGTTGATGTGGTAGTCGGTGCGGGCGTTGGGGCCGCCGACTACCATTACTGTGTAGCCGGCGGTTCCCGGGGTGGCGGGGTGGTAGATACAGTAGTTGTTGACCGGGGGTTGGAGGAGGTGGGAGTTAGCTTCGAGCCTGTAGGGAAATCATCGTCAGAAGGTCATTAACGAGTGTGATTCACCATATCTAAGCCTGGATCGTTGCGGCGGGGGAGGGGCAAGAGGATCGGGAAGATTGATTCCACTGGGGGATTGATTACCATTTCGGGAGATTCAGCGCCGGAGGGAGCATCTTTGCTTCTAGGAGTTTTCCTTTCTGTCAAGGTCCTTTTCTTGTCTTTTCTTCAGCAACGACAGTAGTAAAAGTTGACTCGAGATGGAACCCAAATGATGTCACGTGCTTCATGGAGATAAGGCCGGACTTAAGGCCTGTGCGGGTATCGGAATAACCCTCTTCCGACAATTTTTCGAAATGCTTTTTCCATTTTTTATTTGGAGCTCTGGACGGCGCGATTCTTCAGCAGTGGTCAAGGTCAATACGGAGGGGAATTCAATTCTACTTTGGAACTATATCAGCCAAGATGACCACCTCCCAGCCCCCGATCCGGTTTACCGGCCATAAAAACTTCCCATACCGTCTTGTCCTCTCGACATTGACAGGCCGTACGGTCCATATCTCCCAAATCCGTTCCTCGTCGCCTACGAACCCTGGATTGGCGCAACACGAGATTTCCTTCCTCCGTCTTCTCGAGTCCGTGACCAATGGCTCGCAAATGGAAATTTCGTACACCGGTACGATCATCGTCTACAAGCCGGGTTTGATTACAGGAAGCGCTGCCGGTGCTGGAACGAGCAGTGGAGGTGTAATTAAGCATGAGCTGCCGGCGGGATGTACTCGTGGCCTGAGCTATTACTTGATTCCTCTCTGCCTGTTGGCGCCGTTCTCCAAGGCACCAATCAAGATCCTTTTTACCGGTCCCGGAGTGATTACTTCTTCCACCCCGACGGGTGACATGTCGGTTGACAGCGTTCGAACCGCTATCCTTCCGCTTTACAACCAGTTCGGAATATTCAACAACATTGAGCTTCGTGTCTTGCGCAGATCGAACCCGGGTCCCAATGGCAGGGGTGGTGGTGGAGAAGTGCAGCTGGTCTTTGGTCACCAAGTTCGACTTCCCAAGACTCTGCATCTGTTGAATGGCGGCAGGATCAAGCGGATTCGTGGTGTAGCCTATTCCGTCGGTGTTTCTGGCTCGAACAACGCCAGAATGATTGAAACCGCCCGTGGGGTTCTGAACTCTCTCTGTCCCGACACTTACGTCTTTTCTGACATGTCGCCTGCTCCGCTGGTGCCTGCACCTGAGCAAACCAACCCCTCCGCAAAGAAGAAGATCGGTCTTGGATTTGGATTGTCGCTAGTCGCAGAGTCCTCGACCGGATGCTTATTTTCTGCCGATGTGGCATCTCCGCCTGAGGGTGGTCAACCGCCAGAGGACATCGGAAAGCAGTGTGCTTATCAGCTACTCGAAACCGTCTCCAAAGGCGGCTGCGTCGCACCCCCTGCCGTCGCGACCATGTTGACTCTCATGACGATGGGATCTGAGGATGTTGGCCGAATTCAAATCGGTCGGGATGTCATTGCTGACGAGAACACGGTTCAACTCGCCAGAGATCTGGCCAAGATCGGTGCCCCAGGCTGGGGTCTTCGTGACGCTGCAGGGGAAAATGAAAATAGCGACGTCATTGTCAGTGTTGTTGGTCGTGGTATCGGCAATGTTGGACGTAAGGTTGCTTGAATGCCACCACGCCGAAAGAAACCCTCCTGCCACGGCTACCACTGCACGGTCCATGCAGCCTTGCTCTCCGTGGTTCGGTATTTATATCAAGGACCGTGTCGAGGAATTTACTATTTCATGTGAAACCGACAAGTTAGCAGACCGGCCAACAATCCTCTGCATCTGCTATTCCGACCTGACAGGCAGCTGTTATATTTCTTTTTCCAAGCCACGTCACTGATATCCTCTCGGCATACTCGCCTTGCGATTGGATGTCGTGCACTTCGTGTTACCCCGGACCTGCCAACTTCTGTCGGGCCTTAACACGTGGCCGGGGATCAAGTCACCAACTTGTCGTTGGCCTCACCGCCAAAATTGATACCGGCCTGTCGGATGTTATGGTTATCTGCAGGGAGTCGAAAGGGCTGCGTAAGGGCGCAGTGATTGTCGACTGGCCCATTGCCATCTCATCCGATATCTGACTTGCAGCCGGCATTGGAATGCTAATACCTATGCTCATGCCCGATGGACTACATGTGTACAAAAAGGCTGGACCGCCGTCGGTACACCTTGTCACCCATTTCTGGAACCCTTTTTCTTGTATATAACAAACCTTAATGCATTTTACTTCCTTTTCAACCTTCTTTTCCTCTTTCTTTATCTAGCTTCGTTCGTTTCGCTCGTTACGTCGGTAAATATGTTTCACGTCGTTGGACCGGCACGGAGGAAGGAAAAGGACAGTCGACCTAGCATGAATGATGAACGCGTGCTTCCTGTTGCTACTGACCAGACTTGATTAGTTCATGAAGCCTCTCTGCCCTCGACCAAGAGTGAAACAGCTGGGGGCGCCGCGACTTACCCTTTAGATGCTGCTGATCGTGCGGGCCTCCCGCTGTCATGAGCTCTGGCCAGTTTCAGCCCTATGGACGACATGTTTCGACTGCAACATGAGACGAATCTCTTCCTTCTCGACGTCTGAAGCTTTAAGGACTGTCTAACCTGATGTCCTCCGTCCGGCCACCGCCCGGCCTGCCCCCGACCGCCCTGCCGGCCCTACTACGTGCCTCTTTCGGCAGGAGCGACCAACTCGTCAAGGCACTCATTACGCCATTCTAATGCCTCCTACCTTCTTCGTCTCACTTGTCGCTAGCGCCCAGGCTCCAGCTATAAACATAAATAGCCCCTCGTCGCTCCCCGAATTCTTTCCTCCTACACCTACCTCGTACCTGCCAGTTCTTGCAGCAGACACCGTCATGTCACCCAGCGACAACGACGGCGGTCTGAGTATCATTCTTATCATCGTCCCTTCCCTTCTTGTATTTTCCTGTGACTTACTTGTCGTCAGATAACTGCCTACACTCGTTCTTTCCTCCTCCCTCCCACCTCCTCGTCCTCCTCGCTCCTTCCTCACTCTACCACTTCCTTCTAGACTTGGTATTACTCTCCTGCTCGTGTCAAGGCCCCGCGGGCAAGCCCAGTAAGTGACAGAGTTTGTGAGTACTTCCTTCCATTCCAGTCTCGTCACAGTACTGTCTCCTAATACTGATGATCAAAGGCTGGCTAAAAACACTCCGCCCGCACCGCCTGAAGCCCAGCCTAGTGACAGTGCTAGTGAGTCACCCTCGTAGTTTCCATAGTACATATGTCGGTACTTACAGTGACAGGCTGGCCACGAGCACCGGGCCCTGCACGTTCCTGACGTGACAAAAGTAGGCCCGTTTCAGGAAATTCTCTCCCTGTTTTTACTGTTTATGGTTTATAGCTAGTCTACCCTTCTCTTCTTCCTCTTCCTTGCCTGCACCGCTGACAGGCCCAGTGAGCGACAGAGCTTGTATGTGCCTCCGGCCTTGTCATGTGACTGTTCACTGGTACTGACGATGACAAGTCTGGCTAAAAATAATCGTCCGCACCGCAGGCGGTTCAGCCTCTTCGAAACACTTGTAACGAAAACCTCACAAGGCTTCTATCGACGACGTCATGACGCCACCGTACCTGTTTGACAGTCGACCTTCCTCCTCTTTCATTGTCTGCACTGTGGATAGGCCCAGTAAGTGACAGAGCTTGTGAGTATCATCTCCTGCCCACCTTATCCTACTAAGGCTAACTGATACCAGGCTGGCTAAAAACAATCGTCCACCCGCGGGCGACCCAACCGAATGGCATCACTAGTAAGGAGTCTCACTGCTGTTAAAAATGGGCTCTCTAACCAAACAAGGCTGGTCATGAGCGTCCGATCCTCGTCTCGGTCTCCTATTTGGCAACGTCGGCATCCTTCAGCAAGCACTACAACACCCGTCTCCTCTCCCTTGCCTGCACTGTGGACAAGCCCAGTGAGTGACAGAGCTTGTTGGTATCCTGTTCTAGCTCGCCTTGTTCATTCTAATCAATACTAGGCTGGCTAAAAGCAATTTTCCACCCGCGGGCGGTCCAACTTGGTTACAACACCAGTAAGTTGCTCTCCGCATCATTGAAGTGGCTTCGCTAACTATCTGAGACTAGGTTTGAGTATTTGGCTACTCCACCGACGACGTTAGAGCAGTCATGCCTAACGTTGTTCCCTTCTCAACGGTGTCAGAGCATCCACACCTGCATCATCCCTCCCAAAACAAACGATGTCAGAGCATCCACACCTGCGTCGTTCTCTCTACTCCTACCAAAAACAACCGATGTCAGGGCAGCCCTATGTCGTCCCTCCACTCCTACCAACAAACCAATGATGTCAGAGCAACCATACCTGGATCGTTCCCTCCACCGAGCACTAGTCCACACCGCAGACCAGCTGCGCTTTGAAACTGCTAACGTACGTTTCTTACCAAGGATATCTGGCCATACTAATGGATCTAGATCAATCCGAGCCAACCTTATCTACGCACCCTCGGGCTCGACACGACCACGACCAATTGCAACAAGGCCATCAGCACTCCGATAGCGACATGATTCATTTACCTTGGCGCTGAAGCGGGACGTATATAATGAGGGGTTGGTGGGGTTGTCGGAGTAACTGGTATCTTGTATATAGTTGCGTGTCCTGGCCAAGGTTTTATGGAGTTTTCCTTGGCACTCGCCGAATGGGGGGCACGAACTGATCATTCTTTCTTTACCATCTGTCGCATCGTAGAAACTTGCAAACAGTAGCATATAAATCTTGGCTGATGTATTCTGGGCTTATTATAGAGCACATCCGGATCATTCCGAGATTTGGTTCTCTGCAGACCGCGCCAAGACCCAAAACCGGAAATATTGAAAATTAGGGCTGACAAAAATGACCGACCAATCATATCGCGCTACATACAGTTTTTGCCCAGACCAACGCCATCATTTGTGGATACAGAGATAGAAAACAGGCAGAATTATTCAATGTCGATCATGTTGTTCTATTTTCTTCGATTTCATGGCATTGCATTGCATTCCGGAAGGAATGGGGGAGGCTGTGTTTATCTGCTTTCTTTCTGCCTCTAGTTCTTGGCATGCGTCTTTTATTGCTATGCAGGGCAACTAGACATGTGCTCATCTCTCTGTTATCTATTGATGTTTCCAAGGAATTGGCAAATGGGTATTACAAATACATCGTGGATCTGGCTTATTGATGGTTGGTTATATATGATATCATATGTACTCCTGTCCGTGTCACGATATTCGGATCAGGTGTATTTATTGTATTTCCGGGGTATGAGGTCTGTCTTACTTGTACTTGTATGGTTACGTGGATTGCGTCAATCATTCAAGGGTGTAGTTCAGATTGCGTATGTATTCAATAGAAAATGCAAGGCTATGTACAGTCTAGTGATTCTAATAACAAAGAAAATAAACAAGAAAGAGGTAGTCAAGTCAATAGTCAAAAAGTGAAACGAAACCAAAGAAGGAAAAATGATAGGGAATGACTGTGGAAGGTCACAAAAAGAAAAGAAGAGGAAAAGGAAGAAGCGCCTGCTATGGTATCAAATCAAACCAATGCGAAACAAATAACACCATCCCAAACGCCTCAGAAATCACTTTTTTCTTAGCCAAAAACGGCAAAGAAAAACTACTCTGAAACATCCTCATCCTTCCCAGGATACATAATATCCTTCTTCCACACAGCGCGCACATGCCCCCCAAACACAAACAAAAACATACACACAATCGCAATTGTCATCGCAGACCCCACGCCAAGCACACCGGGCGAGTTGAATGCATTCCCCAGACTAATCGTAGCCAACGTAAACCCTGTGTTCGGGAAGACCATCGCCCACCAGCTCAGATGGAACGCCGTGGGTCGTTCGCGGATCACCGCGATAGAAGCAATGCAGAAGAACCACAGACTAAGTGCCCAGAGAAATGCACCCGCCGCGATGGCGAGGAGTTGCAGGACTCGTCCGTCAAGCGCGAGGTCGTCGCCGTCGTTGAGCAGGTCGAATTGTTCTGGGAGGCCTTGCGCCATGCCGATTAGTGCAAGGGCTGTGAAGGCGGGTGGGCCGACGCAGATGAACATTCCAGGGCGGTGTTCACGGCAGGGGAGGCCCGATTGCATCAGGCGGCCGATGTAGTGCGCGTACATCATGAAACTGATGGAGAAGCCGAGACCCTGGAAGGTGACGCCTGCTGTGATGATGGGGATCGCAGAGCGCGGGGGCTGGTTTGCGGCAATGACGGAGGCGATTGTGCCGCTGAGCATGACGGGGAAGGCAGGGAGGATCCAGGAGGGCATCATTGTTTGCAGGCCGTAGGAGTGCGAGGTGAAGACGAAGGAGTACTGGATGACTGCGACGAGGAGGGTGCAGGCGCAGTAGATCCAGAAGAGGACTTCGAGGGCTTGTGTGAAGGAGGGTTGTGGTTCGTCGCCGAAGTACTTGTCTAGGCCGCAGATGATGGTTGCGACGGAGAGCCAGAAGGTTGGGAAGAAGAGGCCTTCTCTGTCGTGGCGGAGGGATTTGAGGAGGTTGCCGTGGATGGCGAAGCGTAGGGCCATGAGGGAGCATACGAGGCCGAAGAGGATCAGGTTGAAGATGTAGACTGCTAGACCGATCTCGCGGAGGCCGGGGAAGGTGTTGGGTTGGTTGATTATGAGGACTGCCAACCCACCAGTGCTCATGGTGAGGGTGTACCAGGCCCAGGTGAAGTGGTGCAGACGGTCAGTGAGGCTGATGGGAGGGTCATGTTTGAGCATGACGGACTCGGATTGGGAAGACGAGGGTGGGATTAACATTGCGGCGGTTTTCGATGTATAGTATGAGTATAGAAAGATGTATGAAATAGGAAAGATATAGAGAGTATAGTAGTATAGATTGGTTATATAATTGAATGAGTATAGAAAAGAAACGAATGAATGATACCGAACAGATCAGAATAGGGTTCGGGATAGGGGCTGATACTTATACAACGGAGTGATCGGGTAAACATCCATGGATCGTTATCTTGCACTTCGGGAAGCCAAGATATAGAAATGGCCAAGATGCACATCAGGGGGGGGGACGCGAGACGCAAGCAGTACTGCCACCGAGAATGAGCATGCGTGTATGCATGATGCGTCTGCTGTGTTACTGTTCTGGTGTGTACCTGCACTGTGTTACTATGCTACTGTCATGAAATACCTGTCACTACCATTGTCGTTACTCCATATTATGTTTACTCTACTCTAGTATGTCTCTACTCTACTATACATACCACCCCATACTACTCCGTACACGCCGTATACTCGGTTTTCCTACGGACCGATAGGGGCGATCGGCGCCAAGACGTGGCGACGCAGTGGATATCTTGGCATCTTGGCGGCGGATCTATTTTGGCTTCCGCCGATCACGAATATACATTCCTTTCATGAAGATGTATAATACTTATACTTTATAACTTCGATATACAGGGCTCGGGGATTTTGTGAATATCATAACTGTATAGGATAGGGCAGACTCACCACCTTCAGTATCACCATACAAGTTACTGCTATACAACTACATCCCATTTAAATGTATCCTTTATCCATGTCTATCCATTAAACTGTATACTGTACTATAATGATGCGAGCTACTAATGCCAAGTGCCAAGCCAAGCAAAGTCTATTAGGCGTCCTTTTTTCTCCTCCCAATCCTGAAATTAGGAATGCTGCCTCTTAACAGCCACAATCCCACTGCGACAAGACTCTGGGCGAGGATTCCATGCGTGTTATCTCTCGCTACTAGTCATGTCTATCACTACTAATCTATTTTCTCGTCCTGTTGGCTGTCTGGGCAGCAGGGGCCAAGCAGATACATGTCCAGCGTTAATTGCATTGGCATTGTATACGGTAGTGTACGGTGTGCTCCGCATGGTCCAGAGTATATGCAGTGTACTCCATTCTCCTTACATACCAATGATATCAAACCGTCCACTCGCGTGCATTGCAACCCGAAACGACCTCCGAAAGATTTTCTTCACGGCCCGCCGGTGGTTTCCCCGATTTTCAGCAACCCCGAGGCTTCCGGGTCCTGGACCCTGGCCTCTGGGCAAATCACTACGGACAATCTGGGCACGCCCCTTTCTTACCTTCCGGAAACACCACCGACTCCCACTCGGCACCATTCTATAACTTCGCTACAGGTACACAACATAAGCTTTCGGGATTGGTCGTATTTTGTCCGCTCCCGTCGGTTTCAGCCGGTTTATTTTGTTGCTATAGCGCGAGGGTTTATTAGGTGCGTATCGCTCACGTGCTTGGCAATGTCCGGTACTGCAGCTGTTGATGATTCGTCGGGATTGTCTTGCGAACATACCTTGGCGTGGAAGTAACCGTGACATACGACAAGACTGAGCGGGGGTTGTGTTGAATTGAATGGGATGCATCCGCTTCAGCTCTCTTCCAAGCACTGCGACATTGTCCAGTCTATTGGTTTCTGCACCCATCCCACATCACTTCAGCAACCGCCGGGCACGAACGAATGAAATTCATTCCTTTGTGGTCAAAAGTCTTGTCCCGGATGATCTTTTTTTTTTTTTTTTCCTTCCTGTTTCTCCTGTTCTCTCCGTCTTGTCTGTCTCCGGTCGAGACCGGCCTAACTCTGTCGTTTCAACCCGACAGTGCTGCACCTTCGGGAGCCCAGTGCAGGGTCCAGGTGCGGGTGTCAACAAACTTAGTGATAGAAACAGGGGCACGGGGTCGTGCGGGAGTATCAGGTTGGTCACAGTTTCATTTTCCTGTCTTCTAGACTTTCTGAACTGTGATTGTCACTGCATTGTCTTCGGAGACAATACCTGATGCAGATTGATTTGTTCGGCTACTATGCTGAAGCAGATCTCACATCCACGCTTCTCGGGATGTGCAGTGTGTAGTGATTTACCTCCGGCTGGAATAAATCACTCAGATACCTGCCACCTGCGCCTTCGCTTCCACGACGATACTACCCCCTCACCAACAACCAATGACAAGGATAATGAAGAGACAATGCTGTCGACAATGCTCCAACCTCCACCGATTAAGCTGCCGAGAGTCTGTTCAAACTTTGAACATTTCGTCCATCTCACTCATTTCTACTGTCTCCTTCCATTCTCATACATAACGGGCAGCAGTACTCCGTACAGGGTAGTACCATGTAAAACGCTCATAGCAGATCATCCACTCTCACTACCGTCACCTTCCATTCTCGTCTTGCAGAAATTGGCCGCGCTACGAGCGATACAAATCCCCGATGATTATCCGGACCCTCGTCGGTCATGAAAGATTCCTCAGCGTTGCCTACTTGTTTTCGTCCTGCAGAACTTGGCTGCAGAGTCTTTTCATTGACCGGAACCTAGGAGTAGTTGTCATACGCAACGATCCACGATAATTGCAGGTACCAGTAATGGAGATGGTGGATTTCGGCTGTTAGGACGGGACTTGATTGAAAGTTTATGGAGTGGGTGTGCTGACTATGCAGTCATTAGTGCGCTCTAGGGCTTACGGTGACTGTAGTGCGTATGGTGAGTTAACTGCTTCAACGGCGTAATCTGTAGAATGCATTTCCCCAAGGACGTAGAGCCCTATTCCCATTGATCACTGTCGACAGTTAAGGCTGTACAATGTCTACTCGAAAACGTTGGTTTGTTTATTTGAAGAGAATGCAGGTTGATTCCTCTTCAGCAGCAAGCCAATGTCACTCAGTAGTCAAACCTATCCATCGTAGTCAGACTGTATTATCTTCCTGTACGTTGTGTACTGTTGTCTTCAGTGGGCTTCAGTATTCTCATCTTGTAATTGACATATGCATGTTCGAGATAGACATGGCCTCTTTTTGTAATGCATTGATATCCTACGTTCTTTTTCGATATAGATCCCACAGTGAATCCTTCGGCAGAACAGCAAAATAGAAGCTGATATGAAATGTGGTGAATCGTGAAATGGAGACTCCTCGAATAGCCGTACTTGGTTCTTTCAATCCAAGTGCGTACGATCGTGTCAGTCTTATCTTTCATTGCATGCTATGGTATTGGTCTGTGTTCTATATATTGAATTTTTGATATTGAAACAGGAGTGGTATATATATATAAGTATCTCGGGCTTTATGTTCATCTGGTATATATTCCGCATTTCCAGTCATGTACTCTGTTGCAAGCCGCAACAGTTAGTATCCAAGTCTCATGTTTCTAGAATCCAATGATATACAAAAGTAGAGTAGAGTGAACATACATCCATATGCAAAGCCACTCCTCCATATACAACATCTCACCCTATCCAAACTCCACAAAGCAAAATCAATGAACCAACCGAATCTCCCTAACCCCCGGCGTCCACTCCTTCAACCCCTCCCCAACACTATACCAAAACCTCAACCGAACACACTCCCTCCTCATCCCCTCCGCATCCCCCTTCTCAACCATCGCCCCAAGCACCTTAACCCCCTCCTCAACCCTCTCCCGATTCTCCCCCTTCATCTCCTCAATAACCTTCTCCGCCTCCTCCCCCGACCCCTCTTCCTCGGCAAGTTCCTCGATTTTCTCCTGAACCTCCATAACAGCCATCAACGTCTCCGGGTCGAGCGCTTGCTTGTCCGTTGCCGCGGATTCCTCGGCCGTTACGTCGATGTTGTGTTGGATCTTAAGCAAGTACTGCGCGCGCGCGAGCGGATCGGAGAGCGTGCGGTAGGCTTCGTTTAGCAGCGCGGAGAGCGCTTCGGCTTTTTGCTTCGGTGCGCCGGGGGGGTATTTATCTGGGTGGGTGCGGTTTTGGAGGGAGAGAAATTCGGCGCGGAGGGTGCGGAGGGGGATGTCGAATTTTGTTTCTAGGTTTGGGGGCGGGCCTGAGGGGAGGGTTGAGGGGAAGAGGGTGTAGTAGTTTGTGATGTTGATGTTGGGGATGTCGTTTTCGGTGTTGTTGTTGAGGGTTTGGGGGGTTGTTGTGAATGCGCGGAGGGCGGGTTGGTATGCGCGATTTGTGAATGATTGGGATAACGGCGTTGAGCCCGGCCGGAGCCGTTGGAGGGTTGTTCGTAGGGCAGCCATTGTGGTCGGATCGACTATTGACAGTGCGTAGGAGTTCCTGTGAGATCGGAGATGGTTCGAGGCCGATTTTATGCTTAGTAAGGATGATGTCATTTTAACTAGTAACTAGCTCTAGAATACATTTTGGACATTGAATTCTTCAATTAATTGACTGGGAATAGGTATACAGGACTATTCAATCCCCCACAACTTCACCGTCCGATCATGCCCACAACTAGCAATCCATTGCGCATCGTCGCTGATATCCGTACTGAGAACATTGCCCGCATGTCCGCTCAGCGTCTTCACCAACGACCAGTCATCCGCGCTGAACACGTTGACGTTCTTATCGAACCCACTCGTCACAAAGAATGACCCTGACTTCTTCGGCTGTACCGGTTCTGGTTCCTTCACCGTCATTGTGGGAGTGTCGACATCCATTCCGCCCTCAGTCGTTGGCAGATAACCCGTGGATTCGGCGCCCTTGTACCATCGCAGGTCCGAAACGATACTCTTGTGTGCTCCGATGCCCCCGGTACTCTTTACCTGACGCAGATCCCAGCACTTCACCCATCCATCTGCGGAACCGGACAGCACTCGGTACCCGTCTACACCCCAGTCGAGGCCGAAGATGTCCCGGATGTGGCCCTCGAGAATCATCACCGTCCGTCCTGTGCGCAGATCCCAGATACGGCCGATACTGTCGAGACCACCACTGGCAAGTAGTGAGCCATCGTTGTTGAATGCTACCGTGTAGACTTCTCGCGAATGGCCCTCTTGTAGTAGTAGTTCCTGTGTCGTCTCCACGTCCCATAGTCGCCAGGTCGTGTCGTACGAGGCAGATGCGACATATCGCCCCGAGGGATGGAATTCGGTCCGGCATACACGCCCAGAGTGTCCGGACATGGTCGCCAACGGTTGTTCCTGGTCCAATGACCACAGTGCCACATTTCCTTCACCTCCGCCAGAGACCAGGTTAACCGACGATTCAGACACATTGGATGAAGGCAGTGTCGCTCCCGGAAACCATGACAAACCACCAACCCGATCCGTATGTCCTTTCCGACTCCCTTTTTCTTCGAGGTTGGGCACGCTCATCAAGCGGATACCGCCAGACCAATTTCCCGTAGCAATCGTCTGTCCGTCCGGCGCAAATCGACATATACCGACCGGCCGGTCTCCCGCAATCTGCGACCCGTACAAATCAAAGCCCTGGATCTTCTCCTTAATAGCCTTGCGGTGCTTAATATGCGTCCGTAGCGGTATAGTCGACTCCTCCCGTTGCCGTGCCACGCGCGCCTTCGCCCGCGGCAGCGAGAACCTTGCCATATCCTTCCTCGCCTCGAGCAACGCATCCCCTCCCTCCGTATAAAACTCCTCCTGCTGATCCCCTTCCTCTTCCTCCTCGTCCTCCGCCTCCGCCATTGTGATGTCCATACCCGCCTCAAGGGCCGCGGCCTGCTGCTGGTCCGCCAGATCTGTCAAATGCTCCCGCAATCGGTCTCGTCGGTCGACAGGGCGTTCGCCAAACAGCGTAATCGGTTCGCCAAGCTCTCGTAACCGTGCGCGCACGCGGTTGTCGTCTGTCGGGACGGCCATGGCGGCTGCTCTGCGTTTTCGTTCGAATTGGGACAAGATGGCGGAGGCTCGTTCGGCGGGGATACCCGCTGCTGATGGGGGGAGTTCATAGTCGCGGTCGACGGCTGTTGCAGTTGTTAGTGACAGCGCGTTGGGAGGATTTGGTACTTACGGATGTTGGCCAGGTCGATGCCATCGTCCTATGTGTTCATGTTAGTACGTGTTCTGGCTGATAGATTGATGGTGAGAACAGAGTGAAGATTGAAGGAATGGGGCAAGCTTACCTCTGTCTCCTCGACGAAGGCCTGTCTCGCGGGGTGCATCATCTTGTCGCGGGTTTGAGCAGATCGAACAGTCACAGAATATTTTTATTCTTCCAGTGTTGTGTCCAGCAGTTGATGAGATCGTTTGGCCTGCTGGTGACTGTTGAGCCTCTCAAAGTAGAGACCAATAAGTTAAGTGAAGCGCTGTGTTCTGTCCAGGTTTGATTTACGATGGAGAATTGGAGATAACTGCCAGAGGTAAGCTGCATTTAAGCCTCAGGCATTAATCACGTGGCTTAGTGCCATGGATCTCAGGCGTCTACCACATAACTGCACGAAGTGACTTCATTAAGCACAAAACCTATAGACATATCTAATCTTCATTCATTAATTCATTCCTTCTTATATTTGTATCTACTGTGTAAATTTTTCTATTTGAGGTGATCAAAAATTGACAAAGGCGGTCAACGCGATAAACTCGAGATCCTTATCGAGTGGCAGTTGGACTTTCACACACTCCCTCCCAACACACTCGTTCATTCGCTCTCTCTCGAAACCCTAGCAAAATCCAACTTCATGCCCCGGTTGGTGACCTCGCGTCTGCCCTTCTCCTCTCCAATGCTCCTGCAGTCCTCCGCCGTCCTTCGAGCCCTCCTATCGTTATCGGTATCAGTGTTGGTACAGGACAAGGGTCAGACATAAAAAGAAAACAGACACGGGACGGACAAACAGTGATGATCTTGAATTCGCCAAGTCTCGCTAGAGCGTGCTGCATTGCGTCTTGCAGTAGCCTACGCGCCGGTGCCAGAGAGAGATTAATATCTGCAGTATCGACATCGACATCGGTCCCGGCCCGGCGATTACGATTCTTTCATTCGACGCATCTGCGCGCTTCGAATCCGGCTTCTCCGGCGCGAATTAACTACAACGTTGCGGTTTCATCGTCCGGGAAAGGGAATCGTTTTCATCCCGTACGAAATGCATTCAACTTCGACTCCGCCGCGCAGGATAGTCTGGGCTTGACAATCGCCGAGAAGAACCCTTATCAGAGACGGAAAAAACGCCCGGATAGCGGCGCAGACGCCTTCTTCGTCAGCAAGATCGGCCACGACCAACAAACAGAGAAAAACACAAATGGCGCACTCGCCTTCGCCGTAGCAGACGGCGTAGGCGGCTGGGAAGAACACCGCGTCGACCCAGGCGACTTCTCCCACGGCCTATGCGGGTACATGGCCGAATCAGCACTATCATGGCCCTCGCCAGCAGACAAACTGCGCCCCAGACAAATCCTAGAAATGGGCTATGACCGGGTCATCGACGACCAAGCCATCCCCGCCGGCGCCAGCACCGCCCACGTCGGGGTAGCCCTGCCCGACGGCCGCGTCGAACTGGCCAACCTAGGCGACTCAGGTTCCGTCCTCCTCCGCCGCGCCGCCGTACACCATTACACCCCCTCACAGACCCACGGCTTCAACACACCCTACCAACTCAGCGTGATCCCGCAGCGCATGCGCGCCCAGGCAGCCATCTTCGGCGGCGCATACCTCCAAGACACCCCGCGCGACGCAGCAATCACAAACCTACACATGCAACACGGCGACGTCCTCATGCTCGCCACAGACGGCGTCTTCGACAACCTCAACAACCAAGAGATTCTCAAAATCGTCAACAGACAAATGATCCTCGCAGGCGCATGGACGGGCTCCGCACCAGACTACAGCATCAAAGTCTCCGATGACCTTGAGCAGCTCACAAAGCTCGGTGGGCTAACGCACCTCCTACCCGCCGGCGCGGAGGGCGAGGACCAGCGCCCTGCAATGGAACCGTACACGCTGTCTTCGTTCCTGGCTGCTAGTGTCGCGGGGAATGCGAAGGTCGCTAGTGTGGATCGGAGACGGGATGGGCCGTTTGCGAAGGAGTACCAGCGGTATTATCCGTATGATCATTACCGCGGCGGTAAGGTCGATGATATTTGTGTTTTAGTTGTTGTTGCTGTTGAGGAGGGACGGCAGCAACAGCAGCAGGATGATTCTTTCTAGATCCGGTACAGTCCAGAGACCTTGCTTCTGACGTTGGATACTCCTTTTTCTTTTGTTCTCATCTGCATCCTTATATACACATGGGCATATTCATACATACACGGCAGGAACATCTTAGACTCACTGGCACTATATATTGACATTACTTTTCTTGTGGCGGTCATTGGTTTCATTCTTATCATCATTGGGACACTGGCATACAGCACATCCTTGGTAATGGATAGAGCATTATTATAGACTATTGATAGACAGTTTTATATGCATCCTTTTGACTTGTTTACACCTTGTTCTAATCCAGAATCCAAGGAATTGAAAGAATTTGAAGAATCTAACCTTTTCATTCAACCCAAAAGGAATTAAATAACCACAAGAAAAAACATGAATGGAGTTTAAACTACCCAGACTCAACGCATCACAAGATATTGAAAGGGATACCATCACTAGTTAAATAAAAAAAAAATTCCGGAGCATCACAATTAGCATAACCACACCAGCGATATGTTTATGCCGCTTCAGCGGCCTTCTCTTCAGTCTTTTCCTCGGTTTTTTCACCCTCCTTTTCTGGCTGCTCCTCTGCTGGCTTTTTTGTTGCAGCGGGCTTGTTTTTCTCTTCAGCCTCTGGTGCCTTTTCGGTCTCGGTCTTCTCTTCAGTCTTTTCTTCGGGTTTGCCCTCGGTCTTCTTCTCCTCTGGCTTCTCCTCGGGTTTCTCTTCGGCCCTTTCAGCCTTCTCTTCTTCCTTTGCTTCGCCCTCCTTGGGGGCGTCAGCTTCCTTGGGCTTCTCTTCTGGGTCCTTGGGCTTTTCCGCAGCATCAACATCGGGCATAGGCTCATCCAAGTGCTCGTTGCTCTCTTCATTGAGCTTCTTCTCTTCTTCCTTGGTGGGTGTGTCGACGCTGTCTTCCTTGGCGTGGCCGTTGGCCTTGGCCTTGCCTTCCTTGTTGTCACCGGGGGTAGGCACATCCTCAAGGTCGTGTCTCCACTTGGACAGCAGCGTCATCGCACGTTGCCGGATCTGGAGTTCTTCGTCCCTGGGGAGGGAGTTGAGCTTGACGATCATCTTCAGAACCTTGTTGATCTTGGTGACGCGGATGATGGCGACCTCGAGATCACCGTAGCTTTCCAGCTTGGAGATGTAGTTTGACATAGCCGACATTTCCTCCGCATTGGGCGGCGAGTCGCGAGAGATGAAGCCTTTTTGAAGCTTGTGGCGTATGTACAGAACTGCCAAGGTTAGCTTGTTGCTTAATCCACTCGAAACAATATATTGACATACCCTCTTTCTCTCTCTTGTTCTTGAGTTCTTGCGGGTCGATTGGCTTCTCGGGTTCCTTGGTCTCAGCACCCGTGTCCTCCGCATCCTCGTCACTGGCTGCCTTGCTGCCCTTCTTAGCGCTAGCAGATTGCTTGGACTTGCTGGCGCCAGTCGCCTTCTTTCCGGTACCCTCAGTAGGCGTCTTGGGTGTTGTCAGCTTCAACTTGGTGGTGGTCTTGGGCGTCTTTGCCGGCTGTTTAAGAACACATGTGAGCTTGCGCAAATAGTCAAACATGCCAGAGTGAGACTAACCTTCTCCTCCTCGTCTCCAGCATCCTTCTTGCGCTTCTTCGAGCTCTTGGGTTTCTTCGTATCGTCTGCATCCTCCATTTCGATATCCTCAGCACCATCATCGACAATGTCCATGCTCTTCCGCTTGCTCTTTTTCGCTTGCTTTTCAGCCTTGGCAGCGGCCCGGGCCTCTTGCTCCTCAATCTCTTGCTGCAGCGCAGCGTCATGATCCGCCAGAATGGTCTTAAAGTGTTCCAGGTCATGACCCTCTGCGGCCACGTGGTAAGCGGACAGAAGCTGCTTGGACTTGCCCTTTTCACTAACGTTCTTGCAGGTCTCGGGGTCAGTAGGGGTGAGGGCTGCGTTCTGGATCCAAGCACTATTCGTTATGTTAGCCTCTATCGTGAGAAACAAAAACCAATCGTAATTCAACGTACAATTCGTTGGTCTGGAAGAACATCACGGGGTAGGTCCTCTCATGGGCGCGCTTGCCGCCCTCCGCATATTCATCACGGATAGTTCCATCATCCCGATAGGCGCTCACTGGACGCGACTCAAGGAGACTCTGGGGGAGTATATCTTCATCACAAACAATGGATGGCCAAGGGGGGAAACTCCGAAGACGCGCCAGGTAGTACTCGCCAGGCTTCGCTTGCACTTGGTTGGCGATCGACTTCCTTCTGTTCGGCTTGGACTTGTGTTCCGGGATACCGCCAGACTTGCGCTTCGAACTCTTCTTAGCCGACGCAGGTATTCCGTTGGCTTCTGGTTGAGGAGCGGCTTCGGTTTTAGCAGGAGTAGCGGCGGCCTCTTGCGATTCCTTCGCGTCAATGGCCTCTGCAGACGCGCTGGGTTGTTCAGCAGGGGCCTCAGCAGGCTCCTTCTTTTCCTCAGCGGGTTCCTCCTTCTCCTCTGAGGCCTTCACGTCGTTCTCTGCTGATGACGAAACAAATCGAGTTAGCGACGTTACGTACGAAGGGGATGGATGACGGAAAGGCGGAGCAGAAATGGTGAAACCAGGGCCACAAAAAAAGAAAGAAAAAGAAGACCCGTCAAGGGATATTTACCAGATGGCTTTTCCTTCTCGGGCTCAGCAGCCTTCTCCGCCTCTTTCTCCTGGGGCGCTTCAGCAGCAGGTTGCTCAGCAGGTTTGGTCTCAGTGTCGGGCGCGCGCTGCTCCGCGACCTGCTCTCCAGCAGGGGCGGAGGCGGTGGGAGTGTCCTCAGCCATGATGCGCGACGGGACAGGTAATTGGAAGAGAAAAGAAGAGGAGACGTCAATGGAGTGGATGGAGGTTGAAGGGATGGTGGGAAACGGGAGTCCGTGGGAGAGAGAGAGAGAAGAGGAAGAGGAAAGGTAAGTGGTGGAGACAGGCGCGACGGGGAGGGCGACCAACGCGTGCACTGTCGGGGGACGCACAACTGCAAATGACGCAACCCCCGAGCTGCCAAAATCCACGCTCAACAGTGCCGAACGTCTGTTTGGAAGATGCGGACTTCAGACGCCCCTGTCATCTGCATGATATCTCTAAAAACATTTTCAATCGGCGTGAAGTATGAGTTATACTTCCGCTCAAAACCACCGATCAAAAGTCCAATCACGCCTCCCGATCCATCGAATGTAAAGGCGCCTGAGTCTCCCGGCAAGGAAAATGGGCTCGCAATACCGGACGTATCGGGCACGACATGCTCGTGAGTTATACGTCCTTGAAGTTGCCCGTGTGAGCCTCGCACTATCCGGGCTTGTTTGAGCAATTCAAGTACTCCTTGTATGAATCCCGTAGTTTTCCCACATTTATAAACGGTGTGTAATTTCATCGGGGTATGCTCCACCGCTTCTTTCAAGCTCACCAGGCCATCAAAATTCCCTTTCAACCCATGGTATGGGTATGGCTCATTGCTGATGATACTGCGTCTGGGGTCGATCGAGAGAAGCGCCCAATCAATGAATGCGTCATAGTCGTCATCGGCGTAGGGCTGTCTGCATGTGCGCTCTAATCCACTACCTGCCACTACGTGGCCGAGACAGTGGCCGCCAGTGGAGAAGAATGAAGCGTATTTGTTACGCACGTTTTCTGTTGCTTTGATTTGCTGAAGGATAGCACTGTGGTAATCTTCCTCCTCCTTCTCCGTCAAACACATCGTCGGAGCCTTGGTTTCTTTGTTCCAGACGGGATGCGATCCGCTGGAACTTCTCTGTGCGAATCGTTACCATCATCTGGTTTCGGCTGTTCACTGCTTCTAGAAGATCTTGCTCAGATGGTTGATTGAGTTTAAGCAATCGCTTGGCAAGGTGATCGTTAAAGTTGATGGGCATCCAACCCCAACGTGCGAGAGCTCTTCGGCCATATTTAGTATATTCAATACAGCCAGAAGAGGGGGGGGGGGGGACCCTTTCTGGCCCCTGGGACCGCTTTCGTTTTGTTGTCCTCCACAGGTCTGTAAACAACATGAAAACATGACAACCCGAAAAGCCGCCATGATTTGTCTCCGCTGAACTTTAGTTCAATCAGACCTCCTACGGTCCCCGTTCCGGCCTCGCTTTCGTCTAGACCCAGACTGACCCCGGGCCTAACAACATCCTTGCACACATCTAGGGGGATGATTGGCGCACCGTGCAGTATACTTTCGTTCTTCATAAAGAGGATAGAAACATCTGCGTCGCCATTTTCCGCAAGGATTCCCTTAATCTGTTGGGTATCCGTAAAGTAACGCCGCCTCACAGCATCCTTTCTCACGCTGACGATAATTGTAGGGGAATTATCCTCTGCCCGACTACTCCTCCTGTAGCGCCAACACTCTAGGCCCGTCCAAGTAAATATATTGATTCTGCTCAATATCTCCTGGTGTATGCTGTCCCACTTCGGGTGGATGGAGTCTTGCGGTAGGATTGGGAAGCACCTTGGAGGGATTTAGAGGGTTGCATCAATTATCTCGACGGAGAAGGTACAGTTCCAAATGATGGATTTAAAGATGGACTTCGTTAATCGTTTCCACATACGAGACTTCTTCCTTCCGTCTGAGATTATGAGGATCGTGGGAATGGGCTGAGCCCCTGGGCTCACCCGTGAACGGCGCCCTGTGACTGTGATGTTCACGAATGGTATCTCTTGGTATTCGACCATCCGACTGACCTCAGTAATGATCTTATTGAAACTTTTGACGTCGAATTGCGGTCCAAGGGCTTCGCTTTCACAAGGTAGGGAACATAAGTATGGTCCCCCAGCCCGTTGAGAGCCCTGGTAGAAGCCTTCGCGGTCTTCATTTGATGTATAACCGGAGTATATCGGCTCCCCGGAGGAGCATGAATAGCTAATCGCGTGGGCGGTAGATCGTGAGAAATTTGTTACATTCGACGTCGAGGACATTTTCGTTGGCTTTAGTTTTTGCGCATCGTCAGCAACTAGGGCACCATGAGAACGCAGAGAATGGCTTACAATAGAGCGGTAATCTAAAGTTCTTCTTTCTGGTTCCGTTGCGGCACCTGGTGGTCTTGCGTGCGATGTCAAAGTCTTGGTCTGGGAGAGAGGGTTTTTTTTTTTTTTTCAAAGAAAACAGAACAGAACTCGGGAGCGTTAATCGAACACGAAAGGGACAAACAAGACTCGCTTTCAGAGAGCAGAAAGAAACGGACAAGAAAAGAGGGAGATGGAAGAATAAGAAGACAAAGATGGAGCAGTGGAGCCTGTTAGGCAAATGGTTTACTCTAGGCACTGCCTATGACATATACCAGCAACTTTTCAATTGCCTACTCCTTTATAAGATGTAAATGCATTTACAACACTAGGAATACGATCATTAAGCATCCATTATTCACTCATCTGTATCAAGGTGATCTTCTCCATGCCTCTGCAATAACACAAACTGTGACAAGTGACATAGGGAATATACACTAGATTCCACTCCAACATCACACTATCCAGATAACAAATGCTTATGACCACAGTAATAATTGACTGCTGAAATAGAAGGGCATTTCTTATAATGGATCTTTGCTATTTGAACCATCATGGCTGGGCTGATTACTTTTGAAAAACTTCTTTCAACAATCGAACTATTGATATTGTCCGAGAAAACCAAGGGATTGAAGTCTATGTACACACAGAATGCTTCTAATCAACATTAAAAATAGGATACGGATATCTGAATGTACTGCCGCCTTGGACAGGAACTTGATACTGCAAGCAAATGCAAATTCAACTGGAGCGGTCAAAGAATATACAAGAGGTCATGATCAAAATTCGAAATAAGCGAAAAAAAAAAAAAAAAAAAAAAAAGAAGAGGTCAAGTGATCAAGAGGTCGAGATGATAAGAGGCGAGGAGGGCATATAAGAGAGCCGCTTACGACGGGAGAGTGGCATCGGGCGTGCTGTCATCCCAATCCTCTGCATCCCTAACACAGTCGACAATAAAATGTTCTGGCTTGTGTATCCGGACCAGCCAAAGGAAATAGTCTTCCAGGGGAAGCAAGTTGAGTAAGATGCCATTGAATGTCCATCCCAGCGCACATATCATCGCTCCCGCTACAGCATCCAGGATGAAGTGGTTGGCAGTCGCAACAATGGCGACCAGGATCAGAAACGGATACGCGAAGCCCACGAGGCAGCAAGCTAAACGGCGCCACGAGACCCTAAAGATTCGCGCGCATAAGTTTGAACCAGCAAGGGCCGGACGATGGCGGGGTGGAAGCGGAATAGTCATGATTGTGAATCCAATCATGAGGGAGTATCCAAAGTGCAATGATGGCATAGCGGCTGAAACAGACTGTCAGTTTTACTGGATTGAAACTAGGGGTAATGACTACATACCGTATTGGTTGCAGAACCGATTCTCAGTCCAGACACTACCCGCTCCATTTACTCCATGCACGGTATCAACAAAGCCATAGCTGCGTCCGAGCTCTCCATCGGGACCTTCAACGCTCGGATCACTCAGCAGACGAGGAGGCATGCACGGCCAGAAGGTAAACACCACAAAGGCAAAGAGGTTGCAAACCGCCAACGTTCGTCGTCGGGCCTGATAGAGACGTGTGCCTGCCGGGGATCCATCCGCTTCATCCCATGGTTTTCCCTCTCGTGATTCATCGATGCGGTTGCGTGTAGTGGTATAATAGTATAGCCAGACGAGGAAGGCGATAGTACCAGGAATATGGATGAACGAATACGTCCAATTGATCCAAGTCAACAAGGCAGAATGCTGGAGGAAGAATCCCTGAATCGATGTCTCCCAGAAGATGCCAATCTTCTCCTCGATCTTGATCAATTGCAACGCATGTTTCCTTGCGACGTCAACGGTATCATCTTTAAGAGTAAGTGCGGTAAATGCTCGGGCTAGTTGGTATGTCTGGTTCGATGGGTGTTGATTAGCTTTGTTCCAACGGTAATAGGGACAAGGGAACCATACCCAGTATACTAAAGCCCAGTACCAAACTTCGACCAGGAACGGAAACTTCTGAAGGACGCGACTAAGCAGGCGATCCTGGAAGACGGCAGTATTGGGCGTGGTGACATTGAGAGTAGCCGTAAAGAAACGAATCTGACGTTTGCGCCATCGGTCTTCGGGTGGATGCAGCAGGGAAGGCGACCAAGCGGTTGGTGAACCCAACAAACTGTTTTGATCCGAGTCTGCGTAACCAGCCTGACCCGATTCTAAAGAGTCAGGGGAGGGCGAGCGAGAGGGGGCGTTGTCTTTTTGCCAGCGTGTTGTTCTGCGTATGCGAAAGCGTTTAGATCGATTAATCCAGGTACCTCCAAACAGGAGGACGATGACCACCAGCGGCTCCAAAATGGCGCCAACTCCCATGGTGGTAATTATGTTGAAGGAAGATACCGTTTATTTCCAACGAAACATAAGAGTAAATATAAGTAAAAAGTGAAGGATGGCCAAGAGGAAGAAGAGCCAAGAGAGCAAAAAAAAAAAAAAAAAAAAAAAAAAAAAAGCGAGTAAAACCGGGAAACAACGATTATGTTAAATGAAGAAAGTATGGGTAAGAGGGAGGATAACTTGTTTGCCCGGGTTGAAGCAATGTCAGACAGTCTTTCCTCTTCATTATTATGCTTATGCCTAATATAAGCTGAAAGGATATCCCCACTAGCACCTCAGCCAGTCAGCAAGTGTCTTGGTTGGGCCACAGAAGGAGCTATTGGACTTTACGGGAAGGTACGCCGTGTGTGTGTACTTCGTATTACTCCGGAGTACATTTTTTTTTTTTTTTTTTTTGCTGACTGCATAATACACTAACCAACTAGCGACGAACACATCTCAGCCGGGAAGGTTCTCATGTGTATCCCGTAAAGGTACCTCGGAGGCTGACATTGGCCGATCACCCCGATCTTCCCGCATCTATCTCTGCCCTATGGCTTATGCGCTTGTGTTGTGCATAATGTGCACAATTCTCGGGGGTCGGTGACTTTATTACCCGATATATCTCGGGACCGGAGATCCCTGTCCGTCTTCCGTGTCCACGGAGCAATATTCTATCCGGACCTGCACCCCCTGCGCTCTACCAGTTCTCGGATCATTGAAATATGAAATATCGGACACACTGAGACATCCTCGGATCTTGCTAATATGCTTCGTATAGAGTGTCCCAAATGGCTGTATCTGGTTTCTCTCTACAGACGAGCACCATGGTAATATGGACCAATAATGTCTACACAGCATGGCTGGCGCATTCTCTAGTATCGACTACAAGTACGGAGTATTTCCTGAGGTGTTTCTCCTTATGGGATCTACAGGGTTCTTATACCTCCGACAATCGCATGTCAGATGCTCCCGGACCGGACAGTATGTTTGATCTGCAATCACCCCATGGCGGATCCTTGATTCCCCATATATCGAACTGGCACTTCTGCACTTCGCCAATGGATTATAGACACAATAAAAAAAATAGGAAACATGCTTTTGAAAACCTGCCTCGACACAGTATAGGATATATGAGCATAGACTGCATATGCGACAAGTGACGTCATCCGTTGACGAAACGGTCTTTTTGGTAGGTGAACATCGACTGTACTTACGTTGAACGGTATCGACGATGAGCTACCTTTGACGTCAATCTGGCATTCACGCCATGATGGATGGTGGTCTACCGAACTCCCTCAAGGTGCCAGAGTTCTTCCATCTCGATATATAACAGCGCACAAAAACCGAGCTTCTCTTCCCCAGCTCTTCAAATCTAGACTCAATTCAGCCCAACTCATTGGAAAGCGCATTACAATGCTATCTACACCTCAACTTGCTACTTCCAAGAACCTCTTGGGCCTGGCCTCGCGTCAGCTTCCCAAGGTGGCTGCCACCCCACCAGCCAGAGGTTTCTCTACCACGCCCTCTTCAGAGAAGCAAAAGGACATCACATTACTGCAAGACAAGGCCAATGGATTCGGTTTCGCCCGCTCGAACCCCCGTCCTGCTAAGCCGAGGAGCACTGGTGTTACGGAGATCAGAGGTCCATACTACTCGGTATGTCAGTCGACGTGTCTGACCGTCGAATGTCAAGCTAACCGGTATCTTTCTATAGGTTATGGGCAAGCGTTACCTGGCCGATGTTCTCGAGACAATGGGTACACATGTTGATGGTCTGAAGTTTGCAGGAGGTCAGTGAAGCCATGGTCAAATAATGGACGGGAGACTGACAGACATAGGCTCTTTCTCGCTCTTCCAGGAGAAGCCATTGCGGGAATTGATTGAACTGGCTCACCAACACGGCGTCTACGTTTCGACTGTATGTGCGAAATCATCTCTACCTATACACCTGCTGACACCACACAGGGTGGATGGGCTGAACACCTCCTCACACACCCAGACGCCAACTCGGTCTTTGACAAGTATCTCTCCAAGTGCAAGGATTTGGGGTAAGTCCAACCATCCTCCTTGAACCCGAATACCATCTGACATCACTAGCTTCGACGTGATCGAACTCTCATCCGGTTTTCTCTCATTCCCAGAGGACGACTGGCTCCGCCTCGTGGACAAGGTCCACTCATACAAACTCAAAGCCAAGCCCGAGCTGGGCATCCAGTTCGGTGCCGGCGGTGACACCCCAGCCTCCGGCCTGGAAGCCATCGGCACCTCCGACCCCGGCAAGTTGGTAAACCTCGGCCACAAGTTCCTCAACGCAGGCGTCGAGCGCTTGATGATCGAGTCCGAGGGTATCACCGAGAACGTGGACTCGTGGCGCACCGACGTTGTCTCCCGCATCATGAAGGAACTTCCCCAAGACCGCGTTATGTTCGAGGCTGCCGATCCCAAGGTGTACAACTGGTACATTCGGGAGTTTGGTATTGATGTTAACCTCTTCGTTGACCACAGCCAGATCGTGCAGCTTTCTTGCCTGCGTCATGGTATCTGGGGCACTGCTGACACTTGGGGCAAGATTGTGTCGTTCCGGCCGGAATAATGGAGGAGTATCTGGTATATATCCTCGATGACTGATGTTTATAGCGATGTTAATAAAATAATTACTTTCACTCAGTATCAGATTGATGACTTTATCAAAGCTATACACTCAAACATCAGAGAAGTAGAACAAACATGGCTGTATAGTAGTATTCACCATCCAACACCTCTCCCCTTCTTCGCCCTCCTGTTTCTTCCATCTTCCATCATCTTTCCCAGCATACCGCTGTTAAGCCTTCATCCTACATGGCATCGATATAGCATATGGCAACCGGAAAAGATCAATCGGTTGTCTCGTCGCTTTTTTCAAATCTAATAAATGGAACGTTTACGCGCTCCAGCACACACGAACTCTGCTGTGGCTGATATTCGCCCGAAAACTCGTCTTATGGCAATAGGTCTTACGTTTTCGATCTGGATGACTTTTGATCGTCATCACAGTGGGCAGGCGGTCCATACTTATGCCCATTCCCCTGCGAGAGACGGGTATTCGATAACCAGAGCTACATCAATTATTTACCACATCACAATTCCAGCTATTGTAAATCTAACTTATGTAGGTCCGTCTGGGAGTGTGATATACAGACGAGACTATTACTCGCAAAACGTTTGAGCCTTGTTAGACATTATCCTCATATCGAATTGTTCGATGAGGATATGAAAAGCCCTTCAAAAACTTCTTTTCCGAAATAATCAACACCAAGTGGAACGAGATACGCCATCATATCCTCACATTAAACATACTATTCAACTGTGGTTCAGTCAAAGCATCAATGCGTTGGAACACACTCCCAGAATAATAAACGGGATGTGCAAGGATCACACAGACCGTCAAATGGTCAAGGGAGCATTTGCTGAAAATGAGAATATGGATGTCTTCGTGTGATTCATGGAGGATGAGCTTCTATGACACTCACCGACCCGGTGAGAGCTTGTACCAGTGAAGCCAAGTCGTAATCAGCCCCGAAATTCCCAACAGCACAGCTGGGTTGGGGACATTGCGTGGGATGATTGAGATCAGATTTACAGAGAACAATGCATGGCGTGTTTATGGGCTGTCATGTTATCATTGTGTGACTCGGGTACCGAAAAGGTTTGTTCTAGATATTCTCTCCCCCTACTTCCCTCGGTTTTTATGGAAAATGAATGCTGATAATAGACCAACAGCTTTTGGGCGCTGGGCATGGATGCAGAGTTGTCAAAATTAGATTGCGCCGACATCCAACGCCCATGGGATTTTGACCTTAGATCATCCGAGCGTCTCGCGCCGTGGCTTTTGGCTTCCCCATGGAATAGGGACTGATGAACAGTTCCACCGAAAGAAGATCTGAAAAGAATTGGGAAAGCCGTAGCGGGTCAAGATGATATTATAGGCAATTTTCCAAATTGAAAGGCCCGCTTAATCGGTACATCATTGTGGAATCTCGGTAGATATCATGGACGATATCAAATAAACACCGATTTTAGTATGGGGTGGCGTTTGGGTGTTGAAGCAAGAAATAAAGAGAGGGACTCAGACTATTCTAACGCGTTTGTTGTGCTAAGGAGCTATCCAACACTGACACACGTACTTGGTTCCGTTGAATTGGTCAGTATGAATCATAAAAGATATATGGCAAGGCCAGAAGTACATCACAGATGCATTGACTGAAAGAGGATTGGGAACGAATGCGTAAGCAGATATAGTAACTATACCAGCGAAAACTACAGTTTCTTCGCAAATTGAGTTCTCATCCAAATGAGTCCGAATTGGTGATACACAGAAGTGAGGCAAGTTATACGCGTTCCTGGATTCTATTATTGCAAGATTGTTTGCTGATATTCCCACTCTGTATAGTCATTTGCATGTGCCGTGCCCTCGAGCCCACCTATCCCTTAGGCCAAATGGCCAGCTGTATGTACCACCATTCGTGATGGACCCCAACTCGACCCCAAGCGCCCCTCTTCTGGGGTATTATGAAAGGATAACCGTACAAGTGCGACCAAACCATTTGGTTCACCATCAGTGTGTATGGAGAATTGAAGCAAGCACATCGTGAGTTTACAGCTTCGAATCAAGGAGGATTTTATTTGTTTGAGACGGTCTGAGAAGAAGTACAACAAACAGTTACTTCACGCCAATTGACAATCTCTTTGATGACATTAAAAAGTAACAGGTGCAAATACAATATGCGTTGCATCAGGGGCCTCGATTCTATATTCCTTGTACCGAGTCGAGCTGCAGATCCAAATGAGATTGGGGTTACAGCAAATCCTTGTGAGATCACTGAAAATGCCACCACGAAGTTACTAACCAAGGGGTTTTGATTGAGGCCCTGATTACTCTGAAGGAAATAACACACAATCGCACAGGAAGATAAAAAGGCGAAGAGGACTAGTTTCGCGATTGCTATTGCGGAGGATTATTCGGCCACCATAGGTGCTTGCTGCTGGAAATCTATGCTAATGGTATATATGAAGCACATTCTAGCATTTCTATTACCATTTTCACTTTGTTAGTAAT